TCATTTAAGTAAAAATTACATCAAGTATAATTTCTAGCACATTGTCCAAGTCCAATGAATTATCTTGTGTGGCTTCTATAAAAATTATCTTGTTTGGATTCTATAAAAGGAAATATTTGAAGCAAATTCTGCCCAGAGCAAAATCAATTATGGTTAATTGCCATAGGCAGATCAGGATGGATGGCAGCTTCATCGCTATCAGCTGGGAATTCTGCCTTGAGCACCCACAACTGATGCACATACTCAGTCTCCTGGCTGTGAAGACACCCCCCCCCCCAATCTGTCAGAGTGGCAGGATGCCCATTCTGAGCTAGTCTGATTTTTCTGCTCTGCATTAACATTCTAAAAGTTATAGGTGAAATAGACAGCTTAAAGATTATCAGCTTGCATCATATTTGGAAAAGAATTATACAACTATGAAATATTTTTAAAGAAATAAAATCTAAACTGAATATAACACGTATATCCAGTTTGCTTAGCAATTTCCATTGCTAAGCAAGACAGTTGTTAAGTGAGTTTTGCCCCATTTTATGACCTTTCTTGTCAAGTTGTTAGTAACATGGTTGTTAAGTAAATCTGGCTTTCCCATTGACTGCTTGTCAGAAGATTGCAAAAAGGTGACAACATGACCCCAGGACACTGCAACCGTCATAAATACATGCCAGTTGCCAAGTGTCCAAATGATCATGTGACCATGGAGATTCTGCAATGGTTGAAAGTATGAAAAACATGCATAAATCACATTTTTCAGTGCCATTGTAAATTTGGTCACTAAGTAAATGGTGGATTACCTGTAACAAAATTGTCATAGGTTGGGGGTTTTTTTTATTCAAATTAAATAGCCTCCAAGATGTCACGGATTATCTGTCCTTTCCAACTAATCAGCTGTTTTATTCCTAGCTTCTTTCTCCTATTCATGAAGTCCTTGACTAATGACTGATCACTTAGTGACTGTTTGAAATTATGATGGACCTCCTTTCCCAAAGCAATTTACAATCTTATTCCTAAATTATAATACCTGAGCCTCCCCCATGCAGTCAGGTGACCATATTTTGGGCACTCCACAATCACACATTTACAGCCATTTGCAGCTCCCTGGGGTCACATGACCGCAGTTTACAATAGTTCCAGTTTGGTGGAAACCTGCATTTACTTCCAGTTTACAGGAAGAAACAATAGAAAACAATGCATTTGCTTAATGACTGCCATGTTCAAAGGTAATACAATTGAGTACAGTTGTAATGCTGAGAAAGCTGGTTTTTCAAGATATATCAGCTATACAAATTCTACCAAGCCCTTGCAGACAATCCTCAAAGCTTATCCAACCCAGACTTTCCATCTTCTGTCACCTGCCTGCTCTTTTGAGATTAATCCTAGAAAAGTCTTTGTTTTCAATGTTTTGGCTATTTTATTTACAGTTTATATAATTTGCAAGCCATCTGGAACATCATCCTGAAAATGTGAGAATATGAATAACTGGAACTGATTTCTATAACCTTAATTTGAATCGTATCAAAGGGCTGTCTTTCAGCAGTGGTTCTGTACTGCTTCACTCAAAAATCTTACCAGCAAATAAATATCCTTGCATCTGAGGTTCCTAAATATTGCACAGCCATGCAGAAATCTTTCTTGGGGCTCCCCGATGTCTGTGTTATGTTGTTGTTTATAAATTACCACAGGAATCACCAGCTGTCATCATAAAATTTTTATTGGCACTCTGTAAATATTAAATCAGCAGGCTAAAATCATGCCATGTGCCTGAGCAGCTGATGCTCTCTTGTGGATGCAGCCAACCAGAGAAGAGGATACACGGTGTTGTCTACAAGCCTGATTCTTCATGAGAAATTCTGGCAGGGTCACCCTCTAAGCATCATCTTGAACCAGAAGCTGCACCTTTCCTTCACATCCGTCACAAATGTTTTAAGATTAACAGCAATGGATTACCTTGGCTAAATATATGAGCTTCCTACTCCAGAGATGAGAACTGAACCTCATTTTCAACATTAAATGAGTGGGAAAGGCACAGATCTACACCCTCATACTTTAAAACACACACACCAATGGTGCTTCAGCTTACATTTTGTTCCTCTGGATTTAGAATAAGCTACCTTTGAACAGCCCAACAGTAGTGTTTAATCCTCCTTGAAAGGCCTAGTTTGTACTCAGAATAGTAAGATGACAACTTATAGTAAGACGATAACTTAATTATACCACTGCAATTTGTAGGTAGGTAGGGTTCATTGATACAAATGGAATATTGCATGTACTGTAGGTAAAACAAACACACACACAAGAGAAAACAAGTTCTATCTTAAATTTCTTCCTGCTGGTTTTCATTGCATTCAGGACCCTTTTATTGGGAGAAAAAAAAGCATTGTGCTACATGGTCTCACAATCTCTAGCAATATAGGCTTGATACAGGTTTATCAGTTTGGAGAGCAAGCCTGGGTTATTAGGTAATAAGATGTATGAGAAATACAAACCTTCACAAAGGATAATATATCTATGTATTCATTCACTCATTCATTCAACGAAAACTACTAGCTCTGAATTGGCTAGCTTCTTATATACTGTAGGAAGTTTGACAGCAAATACTTTAGCATCTTTATTTTACTTCTACCTGGGATTTGTGCAACAGAAAGCGAACATAATGCTCACCTCTCCTATTTTCCTCATGACAACTCTGTGGGGCTAAGCTGTGAGGAAATAACTAAGCCAACGTCATCCAGTTGGTTTTCACATCTAAACAAAGACTACAACTCATGATTTTGTGGTCTCTAGTTCAGCACCTTAACTCCTACACTAAACTGGGTGTTATTTTATATTGCAGTTGTATGACAGTACATGTCTACTTAGAAATGAATTCTGTTTATTTAAAGATGAAGTACTTTGAAGAAGGTATCTATAGGACCGTGGTCAAGCTATAATTCAATTCCCAATACTGTTGAGCTAGTAAGGGTTACTTCTGAGTACACACACATATATGAATAACTTACAACTAATAAAGAGACTAAAGCATAAAATGAATAGTTTGACAAAAAAAAGCATGTTCACATCACACATGAAATCCTCACCAATTAACCCAATTCAATGTGGACTTTAAATATTAGGTAAATATTTTAGCTTTTGATCTTACACAAACAGCCTACGTAATTGTCCTGGATGCTAGAAACTGATCTTCCATTGTATGGAGTATTTTGTAACCATTGGTAGCCCGTTCTTATTTTCTTACAAGAATGTGTTTTAGCCTTTATTAACATTTCAGATATTTTAAATATTGCTCACAGTATTTTCAAGTTTTTGCATCTCCCTCCCTCCCTAAAATCTGTACTAACAATAAATATGCAATCCTTTGTTAATTGTTAGAGGCATTACTGAGATATTTGTGATCCAGAATAGCTATTTATGTTAGTTAACCTGATTTTTAAAACAGAAAAAAAAGTACTCTGGAGACTGACAATTAGTTATACTTAAGTAAGGTAAGTATAGCAATAACTGTTAATTATTTCTCCTCCAGCAGGAAATACCTTTGAAAATCCAGAATATTTAAACTGAATTTTAAAAACTCAAAATACATAAGCTACTTTTGAGAACAGCCTGTGTCCTATGTAAAGTGAAATGTGGATTGTACAGAAACCCTGGGCAGCAATCTTTTGCCTTTCCTTTTTTTTTTTTTTTTTTGGTTTGTTAGCACCTGGGCTCAACTTGCTCTGAATATGGGAGTTGACTCTTAAAATCGGATCCAATTAACACATCCTTGATATAACAGAATACAGTGTTAATTACATGCAGCTGATCATTGCTGGGTTAATTAAACACTCACCCCCCCCCCAGCTAAGGCATTAATCTAATTAACAATTACTACAGCTGCTGTTTTCTCTTTACACTTGCTTTCTAAATGGTGCATATTCACACTTCAGTCCTAATCCAGCAAATTCTTCCTCTAAAGAATTTCCTTTGAGGTAGATGGCAGAAAGAGGTTAGAAATTGTGGTCAGTACTCAGAGAACTGAATACCTGAGAAATAATTTGATATTCTTGAACATGTATGGTGTTTGCTAAAGACCGAACTAAAATATGTTTATATTTTCTTATTTGATATACCCTTTTAACTGTTGAAGTTTGAACATTGTAGCAATTTTACAGTACTCCTTAAAAAGTATTGGCAGCAACCTTAAACTCACAGTTCTCCTTAGAACTGGAATTGATGTACAGCAATACTGTAGAGTTTTGTGCTCAAAGTTCTACTGAACTAAATAGGCTGGAAAAAAAAGATTTAAAGTTTAATTGTATACATCAACTATTAGAAAGGAATTGATGGAAATTAAAATTCTAATAGGTCTTGAATTCCAACATATTTAATACTATTGAGAGTTGGACAGCATATAAATTTAATAATTATATCATACTTTCTTTTGGTTATAATACCACCACATACTAGAATATTGTCATTGTGTTTGTTTTTTTGTTTTAAATGAGCTGTTCAGATCTCTAATCAACTTGATGTCACATTTGGAACCATCAATGCTGGGCTACAAAATATGGAAGTCTGCAGCCCAAAGGATTTTTTTTTTTTTTTTGCCTCTTTGAAATTCAAATATGAGGCAGCATATACAAAGATGGAGAGGTAAAGACAATTTAAGCTTTATAGGACATACTGTACTGCTTATGGCATCCCTATTTCCCTATTATAGCAAAAATGCAGGTGAGGTTATATCCAAAAAGCTTCAAAAATGAGAAAGGCACATGATTTAGTGAAACTGATTTTGAAAAATACATGTTGAGCCTTGAAGCTAAACATGTTTTGCATACTTTGTAAGAGATCACTAATTTCAGTCCATAAATTGAAAAACATTTTTATTCAAAGTATATAAGGCAGGCAGTAATTCCAGTTTTATTGTGGATGATAAACAGAGTACTCATATTACACATTTAATCCTATGGTGCAGAAGCAACATACTATTCAATGTTCACTCCAATAGGTCTATTACTGTCCTGTCGTGTGTTCCACATTTATCAGAATCATACTTTTGTTTTAAAATGTACATAAAACACATACCCAAATATACCCCTAAAAAAAGATGAAGCCTATTCAAATTATTGTTGCTAATGGACTTCTCAAGCTGCAATTATGTTTGGAGTGTGCTGTTTCCTATAAGCTACAACAGTCTTTATCAAGGCAGATGCTAACTATTACAAAAGGATTTATCAGCATTCTTGGCTCTGAGCAAGTATAGATTCAATTGAAAGTCAAGTTATTTCAGATGGTTCATATGTGCTAAGGCTCATTCGAATGCAGGGGTGGGTGTAGAAACCCTGCTTCCATTTCTTCTGTATTCTGAACTACACACTTGCATTCTTCAATAATCATAACCCTCTTGGTTACTAGGTTAACCATGGTGCAGTTCATCTTCAGTTGCTTCATGGAGAATTTGGTGGGCAAGCAGTGGGAACAAAAGCTATACATGCGATCATCAGCACCAGGAACATGGAAAGAACTGCATTTCCCAAAGCACAGGTTGTTTTGTATCACCACTTTGTCACAATTTTCATGTGTAATGCTCTGAAAGGAAACACACTGTTATTAAAACAATTGCCATAGTAGAATAAGATAGCCAGATATATAAAAACTAATGTGTCCCTGCAACCTTTAGGTGCAAGCTGGTAATATTGTCTGAGAAGTGTTTTAGATACTAATAAATCGCAACTTTACTGCTTTAACGATTATTAGAAATGCAGAAAGATTTAAAGGGGAAATCTGTTTGCAGGCTCTTTGAAATATAGAGATTTCTACCAATTACTCAAGGTTATTGCCTAAGAATTCCCTGAAAATTTTCCCCAGCAGAATGTGAGTCAAACACCTATGTTCAGCTTTTTGCAATTTCAGTAGAACAAACTGGAAGTCTCCTCTAACAGAAATTTCCAGCCCAAAGTTATCAATATTCTGGTTTTTTTTAATACACTTGTAATATTTCAAATATAAGACAATTTCTAAGAACACCAGCAAACCACTTTTCACTGCAATTAAACTCCAAGGTTTTGGCTGCAAAAATCCATTTGCTATCAGATACCAACAAATATATATATTAAAAACCCACATTTTTTTCACATAGGGGCTGTGTAAATTTTTACAGCCCTTATTTTAGCTTTTCTTCTATAAATTGGGGGAGATAGCTTATCTTGTAGGGCTATTCTAAGCTTGAACTCTTGAGCAGTATAGCAGGGCCTATTTCTAATTAAAATGTAGGAAAGTATTATATTTGTGACATTTACCTGAGAGAAAGGAAGCATGTTGCAAACCTCCTGGTAAATCTCACTCATCTTGATTGGAAGGATCACCTCTTCAGATTTTGACTTGCTCTTCAATTTAAAAAGGTCCCAGAATTTTTTGGCATCTTTTCTGAAGGCTGCTGCTGCGTCTCTCTTAGTCTGTGGGCGAGAAGGTGGATGTTTTGGATACCCAGAGGATGGGGTTATGTTTGCAGAAGCCCAGCCTCCCAAATCATCAGCCACTTCTTGCTTAACTGTATCTGGGGAAATAAAAGGAGGTCCTTGTGACAAGTCCTGTTGTTTGATTTTCATTTCTGCCAATGATACCATTAGCCCCTCAGGTTTCCTCACAGTTCTTTCAAATTCCCCTAAATACTTAGTGAGCATATGTAGGGAGTTTTTCTGTTGCATTTCTTCTCTTTGCTCTGCTTTTCCAAGCCATGAAACCAACAATATCTGAAACAATAGTAAAAACATCGTGGTTGCCTTTCTCCTTCAACTCCCTTCTGTTAAAAAAAAAAGGCAGCAGGAAGATTGTTGTATTTATAAAGGAAGCCTAAAATACTTGTTTCCAGCTGTTGAGTAGGGGAGGGGGGAAGAGGCAGAGAGGACGGCTAATCAGTGACACCATTAACATTCATTAACTACAGCCTCTAACAATGATAAAGTTAACTTGTCCTGCTGTGGTATGTGTATTTCTAGTTACATCTGTTTTCTCTAGTAGGAGTCATTTTGAATTTTTTGGATTAGAAGTTTAGTTGTTGTCTAAGTATTGAGGAAAGTTCATAGACATTAATTTAGCTAATGCATTTGGTCCCAAGTCACGGCATAGGGCATTAAGGATTCAATACAATAACATGGAGAATGCTATATTTGTAGGTACACATTACAGCTTTGAATTAAATTTCATGTCTTAGTAAGATGAAAGTTTATCATTTGAAAATAACAGCTGGATTATATCTGGTCAGGTTATATGCCATTTGGAATGGACCCAAATAGATTAAAAAAAAAAAAAAATACAGAGTGTAAAAACTAATAGAGGATGCACCTTTTGAAAAATGCAAATATTAAATAAAATAATGAGCCAGTTTCTCACTACTCAGATGATTAAAACACTTAGGATTTTGGAAATGTTCTAGTTCAACCTGTACTTATTGCAAGACTCTTTAATATGTAGATCTTTTTAAGTCTTACAATAGGTAACAAAAATTGGGAAAATATTAGTTCATGCAGGTCCCCAGAGTGTAGACTTTAAGTATTGTCTTCCTTCTGATAAGCAGGTATTATTCTCAACTTTGTTTGCACATGAACTGTTTGTAAATCATAGATAACTCCCAGAAAAATGTTCCCATTGGTTTGGGTCAACCATCTTACACTGTGTTTAAAAGGGAAAGATCCATGTCAACTCTTGGTATTATACATGGTACTACTACTATGGCACTCCATGTGTACCATAGTTGTAGTAATTCATTTTATCCATTTCTGTAGAAATGGGTTTGCCATGAAGGTTCTGTAAAATAAAATCTGAGTATTCATATTCCATCTTTTCTAGAAAGCCAAAGTTAACAACTAGACATGTATAATAGGAAAGTTAACTATCTGGCAGGAGTGCCTTTCAAATCTCACTTTGTTTATAAGTGAAAAGAGCACTGATAAAAGTATCTTACTCATGCTGCACTAACAGCATCCAGAATGTTTATAGACCTCAATGCAGTGGTGGGATTCAGCCAGTTCGCACCAGTTCGGCAGAACCAGTAGCTAATTTTTTTGTTGTCCAGGCCCAGAATGGACTTCCAGAAGCGGCATCCACACAGAGAACTGGCTGTTCACATATTTGAATCCCACCACTGCCTCAATGGTATCTTCATATATGAACTTTCAATGATTGTTTGGCTGTAAGTTATTGCTGTTCAAGCTGAAATCACAACCTCACCAGAAAGGATTGGATCCTATGTCTTTCCATATTATGGTGTAATTTTTAATAATTTCATAACTCTTCTCAATTTAAAACACTAAAAACAGCAATGGCCATCAGTCCCCTAGTTGCTTGACCTATAACCTACATCTTTAAAAAATAAATGCATCGTGTTCTATAATGGCAAGTAAAAAACATAACTGTTTTTTCTAAAAGTGGGAAGGTCGGACACCACATGGTTTTAACAAGCTAAAAAAAAGTCACTTTAAATGCTTCATTTTATTATGATATTTTTCAACAGCTGGATGCAAGAAGAGATCGTCTCCATTCTCATGGACACATAAAACATACAGGCATGGAAACAGAGATAATAACAATCTTGGTAAGCAGTGAGTTCAAAGAAAGCTATTGCATTGTTTTACAAGACTGTCTCAGTCCTTGTTATAGATTTCAATCTGGATATTTAAGTTGCTGCAACTGGTTCTGCTGGATGTGGACTGAAATGAATAAACATCCTTGGAAGACATAAACCAACATAATATATATTTGCATAGTTGTTGTTTTCTTTGTTGAATAGCCATCCTGAGAGGGAGGAGACTGGTCTGCATTGAGACTCAGGATGCAAAGGATGAAGGTTTTACAAATGTTGCTACTCTCATCCCTACAAAAAACCCATCCTATGAGGCTTACTGCTCTTGTCCCATTGCAAGGAGATGGTGTAATGGTTGAAGAGACTGTTTTTCTTGTCTTCAAGAATTAAAGAGGTAAATAAGTTCCCTTGTAGCCCAAAACAATCAAGCAGCAAAACAAAAAGAGAGACTTGCACTGCCCCAGAAAGGAAGCATTTTCGGGATTCTGGAAGAAAAAGCATTCTTGTAAATTTAAGGCAGAGAACTCCTCTGTTGGTTCTCTCTTGTAAATGTTGGAACTGATTTACAGAAGAAAAATGGTAATGACTTGAAATGTCCTCAGTCTTCTTTCTTCTCATTCCTCCCCACTTGCGCGCCCCCCCCCCACACTTCCTTTTCTCCTTTTTTTTTTAAACAAACAGAACAACTCTATGCAATTGTTTGGGTCACTGAATATGGCAATCGTGCACCTGGACAATCAATGCTGGAAAAGCCACATAGTGTGTGTGTGTGTAATGTGTGTGGGAGGAGACCAGGCAAAGATAGGAGCAATGATGCCTATGTTGCAAATTGCCTCTCCTCCCTTTTCTATGGGTAGCTTGAGGTTTTGATGCGATATACTTTGATCAATTATCACAGCACCAAGTTTTTTCTGGAAAATTGATTATACATTCTCAGCAATCTCCAATGCTATTTTTATTAATACATTGTATTTAGATATTACAGTAGAAAACAGCACATAATGCATGCCATTTAAGGTACAAAAGTAGATCAGCATCCTTCAAGTTCAAATAAAACTAAACCTACAGCAGTAAAGGTATTATTTTATCTAGATTCATTCTATCCCTCCAAATACACATTGCACAGGAAAAAAATCTATTTTCAGTGCCACTAAAAAGGGGAAGGGGAACTATGTGCCCATAAAGGATCGGTATACTTATAAATATTTTCACTTATTTATCAATATGGAATAATGGAAGGTAAAACATGACTTTGAAAAATAACATTAGTTTTCCAACGAGCAGTCTCAGATTTACATACAAGAGTGTATTAGGAGATTATTGGCGTGTCAAAGTGAACTGCAGTGAGTTTTTTAAAATTGTTTTTGTTAGTACATCTCATTTTCCCCTTTCAGAATTTGTCAGAATATTTATTCAATTCCAGGCTTTTATAATAACTCAAATAGATTACCCAGTGTACTTTGCACATTCCAGTCTGTACGAATTTCACATATATTCTTCCTATATATTTTTTGTGTGCAAGTGGATTTTATTTTCAAATTCTACCTCCCATTTGCAGTACAGTTCTTCCCAGCAAGCATCCACACAAGAGGATTGGGAAATGTGTATAAATTCTCAGGTTTGTCTGGCCCAGTCTAGCACCTTCAAAAGGTGTTGGACTGCAGCATCCAGAATTCCTGTCTAGGTTGGTTGTAGTCTCAACACATCACAAAGTCACAAAAAGTTGAATGGACATTCAGAATGTCTCCAATGTTAATGGAGGGAAGGAAAGAAAATTATCAAAGAGAGGCCAGAGAAATTTACATGCAAATAAAACTTAGAGCTTATCAGGGATGGTAGCAAAAGTTAAAATGCTTCTGTTGGGAAATCAGCTAGCAATGATGGCTAGGGAGATCTTATAATGCTTCAGAATTTATATTCATAACTCATAGTCAATTTTGAAGGGAACACATTTGAATTTGTTACCGTGAGAATTGGAAAGTTCACTTGACATTTAGCAATAGCACTTAGTCTTGTATTCCACAGTGCTTTACAGCACTCCCTGAGTGGTTTACAAATGTCAGCATGTTGCCCTCAGCCATCTGGATCCTCATTTTACCAACCTTGGAAGGATGGAAGGCCGAGTCAACCTTGAGCTGGTCAGGAACAAACTCCTGGTTGTGGGCAGAGTTCACCTGCAATACTGCATTCTAACCATTGTGCCACAATGGCTCCTACATTTGCCCCAAATATAGACATATAGAAATTTATCACAGAATAACGTAATGCAATTTTGTTAAGGGAATGTTTGACATTTGTTGGAAGTTTACATCCGGGTATATTATAAAATGGGCATGAGCATTGTGGAGTGGCACAATGTTCACTTTTTTGCTCAGTGTATCTGCAACCAGCCTCCTTTGACCAAACGAAGAGCAGGATTTTGCCTGCATTCCTAAATAACCGTAACAGTTGTGGGGGATGACATGTCTTATCTGAGAAAGATGGTGAATAGCATATGATATAGCGTCTATGCTCAATTCAGAGCTTTTTCCAATTAACCTTTTAGCCTCTTCATATACAGGATCTCTCGAAAGAGACAGAAATGAGTTCTGGAACTAATGAATTTGATTCTTGACACATAGCCATTGTATCACAAACCACGGGAGAACAAGAGCAGATAGGACGGCAAGCAGAAAAAAAAAATTTCTGCATCCCATTTGAACCCTTTTCTCAAGTAGGGATTTTTTTCAAATGGGCCAAGCAACTGCCCATTTATAAGTTCCATCAACACTTCCGACTGACTGAAAATAAAAGTTTTATCGTATAGAAAGCCAAGTAAGGGGTCTAGCTATCCGTTTTGTTTACAGTTTTGTGGAACACATGTAACTGTACGCTTTGCCCTTCCTGCACTCTTTTCTTTGCCATTTTCCCTGCTGTTGTACTAAAATGCAGTTCCTCCTTTGCTTTGAAAGACGAGGCGGGCCTCTTCTCCAGTTTGTGAAGGCAACACGTTCTCTGTTGATCCATTCCAGCTGACCTGGGTTTCGTTGATCATTCAAACCTATAATGCATTACATGTATAAGCAGACCGTCTGAGAACAACTGATTCAAGCATTTTAACCAAGTTTTTTTTTGGGGGGGGGGGTTCTATCTGATCTTCCATGTCACAGATTTTCGAATAATTTCCAGATGTTTTTTTTTTCTCTTCCGACAATAAATTTGTTCCATGAACAAGGAAGATTACATTTTGTGGTGAAAATAGATTCTGCTGGTATTCAGACTAGAGAAATGTCTGAGGATTTAATTGCAAGGAACTGCTGCAAGTGATCATACCTATTTTCTGATTGGTGCTTTTCTACCATCTAACTGACAGCCATCTTTCCATTAGCTTTTAGGACAGAGGTCCCCAATCTTTTGGGCACCAGGGACCAGTTCTGTGGAGAATACTTTTTCTGTGGACTGGAGAGTGTGTGGGTTTGTGAGCTGCCTGCATCCAATGGATGGGGCTTTGCTTGTTTGTGTGGACCGGTTGCTGGCATGCCGTGGCCCGGTACTGGTCCACGGACCAGGGGTTGGGGACCCTTGTTTTAGGACACAAAGGAAAAACACCAGAAAAACTGAAGTATGGGATCCTTGGTGGTTTTCTTGCAGATGTTTCATTACCAAAATAGGTAACATCATCAGTGCTAGAAGGGAGTGGGAGTTTGCTCTCATTTTATATACTAGTGGTTTGCCCTGTCAGTGTTGGTGGGAGTATGGAAGTAGTTGGTAGATTTGGTCAAATTACCAAGTGTCCCAAGGATAGAAGTGTAAGTCAAAAAACCGAACAGCCAGGAATTTACATTCCCCGACCTCTCAGGAAGACTTAGATGGACTGAGAGGTATTGCTTATGAAAATGTTTTATTGTAAGTGTACTTGCATGTGCAGTATCACACACCTAAACATTACAATAATATTTAATCCTTGTTACTGTATCAATAGAATTTAGTCACAATTTATGGTCCATTGGTCAGACCACACCTAAAATGCTATACCAAATTATGCACGCTGCTTTTAGGAAGGCTATTGGAGCACGTTCAAAGCAAAACAACCAAGATGATAAGAGTCGTGAAAGGAAAAACATACCAATAATGGTTAGTGTATTGGATATCTGTAATTTGAAAAAAAAGGTTACAGAGAGAAAACAGGGGTCCCCAACCTGTGGGCCGCGGCCCAGTAGTGGGCCATGGCCTGCTGGCCACTGGACAGGCTGGCCAGTGCATGCATGTGTGTGCGCACATCCCCCCCCACAGTGCTAGTGCTGTGGATGCGGGGCGCAAAAATGGGCTGCTGCTGTGCCTTGGTGCGTGAAAACAGGATGCTGCCGCGCCACGCAAAAATGGAACTCCACCAGGGTGTGGAAACAGGGCACTGCACTGCACAAGAACAGGGCAGGGTTAGCAAGTGTCACGCAGGCACTAGCCCCACCCTGTTTGTGTCACACGTGTGCTCACGGCCCCGTGCCCACATGCGTGTGTGTAAAATGCTTCCCCCTCTCTTTCCTTCTGGTAAGCCAACTGAGAAAGGTTGGTGACTTCTGGTTTAGAAGATGGGCAAAATTGTTCAGCGTTGATACAGAGAAACAATGGATTTAAGTGACTAGGAAGCGGATTTTCCTTGAACTTCATGAAAAAACCCTAATGGTAAGAGCTATCCCACAATGGGACAGATGGCCTAGGGAGGTAGTGCATTCTCCTTTGCTAGACGCTAAATGGCCATCTGTGAGGGATGCTTACAGGTAGTCCTCGACTTATGATCACAACTGACACCAGAATTTCTGTGGCTAGGCAAGGGAGTTGATCACATAATCATGGGAAATGCTGCATTGGTCGTAAAGTGCAAGGACCAGTTGTACATCCCTTTTTGGGAAGTGTAGCTTTGTGAGGGTCACTAAATGAATGGTTGTGAGGTAAGGACTATCTCTGGTGGATTCCTTGTATTGTAGAATTCTGCATCTTTCAAAGAGAAATTTCGGACAGTTGTAAGAATACATACCTATCCAAAAAGGTCTTTTTCCACTGAAGTTCCAGAGCCAGTGCATGTGTGATTTGGAAGCCACACTAATTAAATGGCCATGGTACCTAGAAATAAGACATTTTTTTAGACTCAAGGGAGATACAGTACCTGCTACTCATCAATTATTATTATTTTTATACAATCCTGTAATCCTTTAATTTTGGATAGAGTCAGGGTAACCAAATGGAGTTGAGATTTTACTAGCCAGATGCCCTTCCTGATGCCTATGAGGAGTTCAGAACAGATATTTTCTCTTTGCATCCTGATAGAGAAACATCTGTCGCTACTTAGGATTGAACTCTCAACCTTCATAGTAGGAGGAGAGCATCTTCAACACTATGTCCTGACACCACTCACTCATCACATCAAGATATAATAATTACTTGCAGTTTAACCATAGACACCAAGACTGGGAGTCATTAAAAAGAGTTTTAGGAATTCTTTTCGAAAGGGCATCTTGAAAAAGCTTTCTGCATGCCCCTCTCTCTACAAATACATTTTATATATAAGCACCAACAGTTTATTTCATCTAAACATGCTGAAATTTTAACATGTTCTACAGATAGCCTTCGACTTAGGACCATAATTGCGCCTGGGATTATGGCCATAAGTCATTGCACTGGTTAAGCAGGCCAGCATGTGACCAGGCCCAATTGTATGACCTTTTCTTGGCAATTGTTAAGCAGATGCAGTGGTCATTAAGTAAATATGTTTTATCCAATACATTTCCCCCCCCAAAAAAAACCAGAAGTAAATGTCAGAAGTCAGCAAAAATTAAAAAAAAACGTAATCATGTGTTCACAGGTCACTGAAAACAGGTGTACAGATGGACCAGTTGCCAAGGACCCAAGTATGTGTGAAGGAGTGAAGGAGGGATGTGGCCATCAGAACTTCAAACCCAGGTCATAAATACCTTTTGGGGAGTCCACTGTAACTCCAAGCAGTTGTTAAGTGAAGATTAACTGTACAGTGTCTAAATCATGTACAAAGATGTTTGCACTGTTTCAAACTTAATTTCCATAAATTCAGCCCAAGTTGGCTGAATACTTTCAGGCGATTAGAATACGTATTTTTCTTGCTTGGTTATGTTTTTTTTTTAACTCTTCAGTAAGTAATTATTTAAAAAGAAAAATATTTTTGTTTGCAGGTATAAATGTGTGTGTTTGTGTGTGCGCGCGTGTGTAATATGTCTATAAATGCCTCTTCTACAGGAAAAGTTTATAGATAGGACTAAACTTTATTGCCTTAAAATATCTCCTCATAAATCCATTTACTTTGAACTGGAATGATTCTTCTTATTTGTTTAATACACTAATAAAATAGAGTTTACTGAGCTAGTCTCCCAAGAACATTTCTTCCAGCTAGAAGACTTAGATTTGACATACTTCTGAAATCCTAAAAGGCAACTGAACTTTCTTTTTTTCTTTGAAAACATTTTGCTTCTCATCCAGGAAGCTTCTTCACTTCAACCCTGACCTGGATGATTCAGACATACCTCTGAAACATTCTACTGCCAAATGCCCCATTGTTTTATCCTGTTTTCCAATAATGATAAGCCGAACCATGGTTAGTTTAAAAAGTGGGCTGACTGCTTTTAGTCATTATGAAAAGTCTAGAAGCCAGGCAACTATGAGTTCTAGTCCTGCCTTAGCCATGAATAACCAGCTGGGTAACCTTGGGCCAGTCATTCTCTCTCAGCCCAACCCACCTCACTGTTTGTTGTTGTGGGCAAAATAAGGGAAGGAAGGAGCATTATGTATGTTCACCGCCTTGAGTTACTAATAAAGTAATAAAGGCGGGATAAATGTCAAATAAATAAATAAAGCTATGTACAAATGAGGCTCTCCTTACCTTTTCTTGCACGTTTGGGCAGCAATTGCCCATGTGGCTTTTGGGTCAGTGATTAGGATATAGCATCTTCCATCATGATAGGTCCATCCTGACTGACAGGTTTTCATTTTAATATCCTAGAATAAAGCATTTTTTAGTTCAGAATGACTTGCTAAATTGTCCACCTTGAAGGAAATGTTTGACTCCTTTTAGAACTGGACTTGGGAAAGATAGGAACGTTGGTAAATTGGGTCATTTCTTTTCTAAATTATGAATTTGGCTACTATTTGAATTTCTGAGGGCATCAGGATATAAACGAAACACAAATGCTGCCTATTGCTTGGCAGTAATAAGTATTCCTGAATACAGTACAATACCATCCAAAAGCTCAATTTTTTATTTTCCTTCCTGTACCATGTGGGGAAGGATTTTTTTATTATAATGTATGCCTTCTACCTGCTCATAACTAAGTCACTGGAGATACCCGACTATTTCTGCCTTTGCTTGTTCTCATAATGTACATTCAATATATCTTACCACAATAACCTTACTTGCTAGACCAGGGGTAGGCAACCTTGGCTCTTTTATGACTCGTGGACTTCACCATGGCTGGCTTAGGAATTCTGGGAGTTGAAGTCCACGAGTCATAAAAGAGCCAAGGTTGCCTACCCCTGGTCCAGCGGTTAGGAAACCAGGCTAGAAAACAGGAGATTATGAGTTCTAATCCAAGTTTAGGCATGAAAGTTGGTTGGGTAACTTTTGGTCAGTCACTGTCTCTTGGCTTAAGACACTTCACAGGGTTGTTGTGGGGAAAATAGGAAGAAAAAGGAGTATTAGGTATGTCTGTCACCTTGAATTATTTATAAAAAGTAATAAAGGCAAGGTTAAAAAAATATGTAAATTTGGAGTTACAGAGTTGAAGTATGTAGTAATCTTTTCTCAAAAGGTTGCCTACCCCTGCGCTAGACCATCTTCCTTATAGCGTGCCACAACTGCTCCCTCATGACATATATCTTCCTGGAGTTATAACTTTTGTTGTCTCAATGAATGGCCTTCGATCCACAAACTGCATGTTTCCATAAATTGCAGCATTCTCAAGCATGCTGATAATGAGTGTGTTTACATTTTTCTCCCTTCAAAGTCAGATGTGGGGATCAAATTGTTACAATACCATTTGGCTTTGCTGGTATTTACACTTCTCAAACGTTAAGCGCCCTGAGTACAAGGTGTTCCCTTTCCAACATAGGGACAACCAGATTTCTTTCTGCCCTTTTCTGTATTCCTTATCAGCTATAAACCAATTTTTTTTTGCCAGTCGTGAATTAAAAAAAAAAACCATGCACACACAGGAAAAAGAGATCCCTGCCTTGTTTGAGTAGTTCCATGATGTCCAAGCGGTACCATTGCACAGAAACATCTTCTGTATGTTTTCTTCAAAATACAAGAGACCCTTCAAGTTTGGTGTGCATCTATTTGGAAAGGAAAGGCTGTCGTCCTGAAAACAAACACTTGAAATATTAACGTTCTATATTGTTTATTGCTTATTGTTTATGTATTTTTGTTGATAGATGTTAAATCAGTGGACATCATTGAAGAAATGCATCATTTAAAAACCTCTTTCAGAATTAAATGCACATTATTGTCAGGCCCCCAAACCAAGAATAGCACATGGTGATTTCTCCCAGCTGAGTTCTTTATTGCTTTCACATCTGTAGACAGAATCTTGCCAGACTGAGTACTCTACTATCTACATATATATACCATATACTCTGGGAGTTATTAGGGAAGGGCTGTCTTTACCCTCTTTTTTTCACACATAAGATCTGGGCTGAGTTGCCTCTTAGGAATATACCCCCTCCCTCCTGGGATCCACTTGCTTACTACATTCCATCACAAATATTTCCTATAGCTTTACTATTTTTATTGCTGTCATAAAGTAACTAACAATAATAAACATCCAATAAATCTGAAATGCTCAAACTTCTGGTTTTAAAAATGTTTCAAAATTCACCTGAAATTAAACTTTAAGCTAGAGATGGAACCCTACCTTCCTCTAGCTGTATCACCATCCCTCACCATTGGATAGTCTAATCCAGGGTTCTTCAAAGGTAGCTGCTTTAAGACTTGTGGACTTCAACTCCCAGAATTCCTCAGTCCACAAGTCTTAAAGCAGCCAAGTTTGGAGACCCCTGGTCTAATCTAAAGCTGCTGGGAACTTTAATTCTGGACGGTGACATCTTCCCCATTAGAAGTGCAAATTCAACAGGAACATACCAAAATACTGGAGTCTGCTTGCAGAACTTCCATTTTCTTGGAGGAAGGTACATTTTTTCTTGGCTCTCTTTGGCTTCTTAAAGATACAGTTCCCATCTTGGTTTTTCTAGGCAATGAATTGCCTTCATCTATTTTCAGCCCTGTCATCCCATGATACTTTGTAAGAGATAGAAAAGAGAGTCTCATATCAGTTAATTCCAAAGGCATTTAATTCACAGAACTAAAAAAAAAAAGAGAGAGATGGTTTTGATATACAGATGTCAAAGATATAAAGGACCCAATATCTGTGGGAATAATATTTAAAATAGAGCTGCTCCAATCCTATATAAAATGGACAGTAATTTTTGAGAACAAACAAGGCATGCGAAGTGAATTGATAGATCCTCCTATTCTCACAGTCTCTTTTTCTCTATTTTTACATGATTTGTTTCCAATAATATATTCTGGCTAGGGAAACCTATTGGGGAATTAGGTTTATATATATGACGGTAAATAGAAAAATGAGCATGGAGAGCATTCTTGCACTCATCACTCACAAACATATTTTGCATTAAAACAGCAGTTCTGTTTACTTAGTTCTGTTTATTTTTGCTCTTAAGATTCAGCCTACATCAGGGATCTTCAAACTTGGCCCTTTTATGACTTGTGGACTTCAACTCCCAGAATTCCTCAGCCAGGGACTCACCAGGAGTTGAAGTCCACAAGTCATAAAAGGGCCAGGTTTGAAGACCCCTGGCCTACATGTTCAACTCCACCCTATTTCACACCTAACATTGACTAACACAGTTCAAATAGTCTCCATCACCAATTCTAACCCAACTAACCTGAAAATAAATGGAATTAAATCTGTACTAAACACTTTTTACATCACAGAAAATGATGTGTATCCTGAATTCATCAAGTATTCTATGTAACAGCACTATAAATAAATATTACAAATAAGGAACCTATTACTCAATAATGCTCTTACTTTAAAAAACTCATCTGTCTCATTCCGAAAGATAGAAGAGGAATGAATCTGAAAGGAAAGGGAGAAATATAGCAGAATAACAGAAGCAAAATGTAATTTGTATATTTTCCCAAGGTAGTTAGTGGTATTGACCATAGTTAGAACATAAGAAAAAACTTTAGTCTATACCTATCAGCTGAATAATTGGGGAAAAGGGAGAGATCTTTTGAATTACAAATACAAAATCCACTCACAAAAGTTAAAATCTTTTATTATAAACAAATTGACATTAGTCAACTTTACCTAACTTTCTTTCCCTGATTCTAATTTATCTCTTTTGTACTCTTGGCTTTCCATTCTACAATTGTTGGAGCAATTTCCCATTCCAAAAGAAGCAATAAAAAGCAAACAAATCAGCTTTATACCTATATCTGAAGAATGTTTTCTTGCCATAATACATCAATATATAAAAGGGGAAATATTTTGCAATCCGAACAGAATGGAACATTTTTTAAAAAAGATTTCTTTAGTTTATCTGTGCATTATCATTCTCTGAATTTTTGACTCCTAGGGAGAATTTCTCTCTTGACTCTACAGAAAAAAAACACACATACATAATGAAGATGGAGAATTTAAGCTGCCATGGTGTAAAAATATCTGAGAAACAAATTGGGACTGGAAAATCTTAAGCATAAGGCTCCTAAGTCAAAGAAAAAAAAGAAACAAGAGGGCAAACTCAGGCAATGAGTTAAACCACAGGAGGTGCCAGGATATGACTTGCTTAGGGCATCAAAATGTCTATAGGTGGTCCTGCACACTAGTGACAATATAGTCCTTGATTTACCACTAGTTACTTGGCAAGCATCTGAAGTTACAACTGACCCTCAAAAGAGTACTTATGAGCCAGATTCAAAGTCCTGACAGTTGAGTCCATTATAACTGTAACTTTAACCTTACATCATATCTTAAATGCCTTTTTTCAGCCTGATCAGCAGTCAGTCTCATTGTTATGAACTCAGGTGAGGTTTTTCATGAAAAAAATGCATATAACTTTGGATCAATGCTTCTTTCCCCTCTGTTCATGAGGCCACACTTACTATTTTGCTATTTCCGATGACACGTAGCCAGTTCCTTGCAGGATTCACTGAGCTGAATTTGGGTGGCTTGTCCCGTCTCTGTGCTATCATCACTTTGGAAGAGGGCAGCAGAATTTCTTCCAAAGTAACAGTGCTGTGCCTGGAAGATGAAGGGGAACCTGGAAGCAGCCTTTCTTTCATCCATAAGTTCTGAAGATTTTGGCTTGTGGAACGGAATGAATTGCACTGACCTAAAACAAGATGGCAGATGGTTAGTCTTTCTTTCTTTTTTTAAAAATAATAAATAAAAGCAGAGTTGGTCACATTGATATGGTTGACCAGCTTGTCATTAAAAACGGGGTGATAGTTCATCTGATATTCACTTAGTTCTTTTAAATAATCCTTATTTCTCTACTTAATTTGAAAACTGAAAAACAATTTTAGAAGTTTGATGTGAGAGATGAAAATATAATTTCTCAAAATTAAAAAAAAAGTGATAAAACTGCTGGTGCACATAAATTCCACATTAAAACGTATCCTACTTTAGCAACAGTATAATCACACAAATACCGTACCTCTTTTTAATTTCTTTTTTAATCTTGCCTTTCCTCCTGGAGTCTCAGTTCTATTCTTCCCATCTGTTTGAGTCACAGAACTTCACAACTTTGGAAGTTTGACTCTTGATGTCAGCCGTGCTTGTTCACATTGGCTTGCCAAATCATTGTTGGACTATGTTTTGATTTTATTTATCTAAATATTTTAAATTACTTTCAAGCCACAAACAGCCTGAGGCAGTGTACAAAATTAAAACTAGTATAAAAGGAATGAAAAGGTTGGGGGGAAAACAGGTACCCATATCAGGATACCCAACTAAATGTTACAGGCTCCCCCCACTGCGCTGAAATGTTTATCATTTCTAAACACACCTCTATACAGACAATATATATTTATTTGAATTGGGAGAACCTATCTGTATCAGTTTTAAATGCTGCATTTGCTCTTTTTTTGATAGTGCTTATTAATGCTTTTGAAGATAGAAGGGTAGGCATGCTTCTCTAGCTAGGCAGCCATGCAGAGTGGTTCAAAAATTAATCTCGGTGGATGTATGATATCAAGATATATACTGTGATAGAGCAGTACATCTAAACTCAACATTGTTTAAAACTTTGTTGCCAGGACCTTTGCTCAACTGATATTCTGAGCTAGTGACGCCCTTTCCTGGGGAGGGAAGTTCTCCACTCAGTCATTTGTGCTCCACTCATCTCCCGTTTGAACTATTGCAATGTGCGCTACATGGGGCTACCTTTGAAATGTATCCAGAAGCTTTAGCTGGTACAAAAATGCAGCAATTTGTACCAGCTGAAGTTTCTGGACACTTTTCAAAAGTAGCCCTATGTAGACCACATTGCAATAGTCCAAATGGGAGCAATTTTGGGTGCCCAAAGAATAGTGCACGTGGCACCTCTACTGTGTAGCTCCATTGGGTGCCAGTTGGCTTCTGGGTCCAATTCAAGGTATTGGTTAAACTTTTAAAGCTCTACATGGCATGTTATCTACAGAACCATCTTTGTCCCATTACATTAGCCTGTCCTACCCAGTCAGGCAGAGAAGGAATGTTGTGGACTGCCCCCCTCCCCCCATCAGCCAAAGAATCCTGAATGGTGGGGTGCAGGAAAAGAGCCTTCTCTATCCTTGCCTCTGCCCTGTGAAACGCTCCCCCCCCCCCCCGAAGTGAGGTGGACCCTAACTCTCCTGGCCTTCCAGAAAGGTGTGAAAAAATGGTTCTGAGGCGCCCAGAGGAACACACAGCCCTGGGGCAGGTTAATACCCTGAAAGCTCTTCCCTGCTTTTGAATTACTTTTTAAAATTGCTTGCCCCTTTTAAAATTTATATGCTGGGTGGTTTATATAATGGGGGGTTCCAAGTATGATTGACAAATCAATCAGTCAATCAATTTATTTAATGGTATTTAGCCGTTTCCTTCCAAAATGGCACGCTCAGAATTACCCCATAACTGCCCTATGATTAACGGGGGAACGAGAGGAAAGGGTATTGCAAGTCCCGCAAAAGGAGCCATAAGCCACAACTTCCGTCTGTTTATCAGTCAGATTCCAGATCTTTTGGTGGATGATAGTGGTGTCTGCTCTTTCTGGTTGTTTGTTGATTCCCCCATGCTGTCCTCCCTCAGCAGAAGAGAAGGGGTCTGTAACTGTCAAAGCTATTGTCTTTCTTTTAAGGAAAAAAAAAAACAAAAACGAAGCATTTTGATCCAAAGGTGCTAGCAGCAACATTTGTGTGTTGAAAAATAAGCAGTTCACTCAGCCAAGATTGTCCCAGATTTCATTAGGAAGATCAAAAGAAAATACCTCCTTCCGAGTCCAAAATTCTCACTACTGCTTTTGTCCGAGTGCCAAGAACAGCGTTCACAGGGGAGATCAGAGTCACTTCAAAGACCTCATCCTCTTCCTCTAATCCATCATAGGTAATTGCTATATTCCACATCTTGGTTGACATTCCTACCAGAAGTAAACATTTTAATTACACTTTAATTGCTTTTTCAATCAACCTAGGTGTCGAAGAAATATATTAATTAACATGTCTACAGCTATAACAGACTGGCTTGTATAATTCTATTGTGCTTCTGCCCATTGATTGGACTCCTGTGGCTTCCCGAAATAACACTCGCTAGAGATCAAATTTGTTCCTAAGTGCTGATGATTCCATTCAAACAGTAACAAAGATTGGTTTCCTACAGGGTAAATGGATGGGGGATAATAGCATGTAGTTCAGGAGGGGAGGATTGGCTCTTCATGTAAATTTTTAAAAAGAAATTAAGAGAACTCTTCATTTTGAAATCTTAATTGCAAGGAGCCAAGCCGTGTTTTGAAATATTGTCATTTTCAATCACCCACCACAAGGAGCTCTGTTCCAAGTTCCAGGTATGTCTGTCAACACCTTGAACCAAAGCCAGTATCTTGATTGCAAAGTCCAAGTAATCTGTTCAGCTGTAAGTAGCAATAAGTATCCCATACAACGCACGCACACACACACACACACACACACACACACACACACACACACATACACACACTCAAAAGAATGTCTGAGAAAAACTAAAACATACAAAGAGTTGCTACTTCTACCAAAGACTTGGTCAGAAAGTCTAAGAAGTCTTGAAAAGAAGGAATATGCACTGCAGTCTCTTAATTGCTACTGAGTTATATATTTGCAGATTCTCATCTAGGAAAAGAACAGGGGATTTGCCAACAGGATAGGATAAGAATATGGAAGGCAAATTCTGGTCAATGCCTTTTAAAATACGTTCCTAAGAGTAAGAGCAGCTTAATAGTGAACCAAAGTACCAGAATAACTGACTGGATTTGTTCAAACATTTGTCGAGGGCATTGAGCTCTTGCAGTGCTTAAGTGGTTGGACTGGATGGCCTAAATGACTCTTTTCCACATCTGTGCTTCTTCGGATTGACGAGGGTGACAACAGTTTTGGCCCAAGGAGTAAGAACGATGCTTCCTTCTTAAGATCTTTAAGATCTCCTTCTTCTATTGGGATGTAAGTACTTGAACTGCAGTTTCCCAAGGCTGCCATTATTGAATCAAAATGCCCCTCTTGTATGGAAAGCCCGCATGCCAGTAGCAGTCCTCCAGAAAAGAGCGTCCTAGAGCGACAATTTCCTTGTCACAGAGTTGACTGACGTAGTCCAACACTTATCTCTAATAGAGCAGTCATGAGAGAAGTGATTTTTCAGTCACTCTGTAACCATTTTTGCACACAGGCAAAAGAAAGCAAAGAAAGCACATCAGTTCCTTTTATTTGGGGTTTTGGTTCTATGATCCGGATGAGATATTTTTTAAATGAACTTAAATGGCTGAGGAATTCTGGGAGTTATAAAAGGGCCAAGTTTGAAGACCCCTGATTTACCGCCTTTGGTTTTAGGCCACCAGCTTAATCAGTGATGAAATCTCACCTGGATCAAACTGAATAAGTCTGGAAGGAGGCAGGATGAAATCCTTTCCTGATAAAGCAGTCAGTTCATTAACCTAAGACAGAAAAACATAGTTGTAAAAGAGCAGCTCTAAGTCCGATAATCATTCCACGTTTTCTGCCATTAGGATTTAACTAATTATCAGCTTCTGTGCCTGAATGTGTAGCTAGCTCTCAGCAACCAACCAAATTAGTACACAAGGTCTGAGCATGATATTTCTAGTTTAAATCCTTGAATAGGGACACAAGTGAAAGAAAAAGGAACAGTTATCTTTCACTACAGAGAGTCAAATGAGCTGCAGTCAAATGAAAGAATAGAGTAGAGCCAAAATAAATAAACAAATGGGAATTTAAAGTATTAAGAATTCTATTTGTAAAGAACTATCCCTAGTGTATTTAAATTTATTGAGAGAGAGAAAAATGCATTTTACTTAATGAAGCCTTTGCTTTAAGTGCATGATTTCAAAAAAAGACAGCTTTGGCAAATATCATCAATTCCCATAGCGATTGTGCTGCTACGGCTCTGTATAAGAGAATATGCATGGATGGATGATTCATAGGGAATTATTAAAGCCAACTACAAAATATAGTTATACTTTGTATAAAATAAGGTTATTCCATTTAATAGAATGAGCTAGACCAGTGGTTCTCAACCTTTTTAATGCCGCGACCCCCAACCGGTCGTAAGTTGAGGACTACTCAACCGGTCGTAAGTCGAGGACTACTCAACTGGTGCAGCACCGTTTGCAGAATGGGACTTTTGGCGGGCTCAGCAGGGCAGAGACAGCCTGGACAATTCCTATTGGCTTTTGAAAGCAATAGAATTAGACTCTATTCAAGAGAGTCTATTCTATTGGCTTTCAAAAGCCAATAGAATAAAAGGGAGTAGCACAGCCAAGGAAAAGGGGGAAAAATGGCGGACTGCGTTGTTTGGCGACCCCCGTGAAATGGTCGTTCGACCCCAAATGGGGTCCCGACCCACATGTTGAGAACCACTGAGCTAGACCTTTTGTCATAAAAGCTTGTATCAAAAAACCTTCTGCCTAATTTCTGCCCTTGAAGATATTTGCTCTAGGCTGAAATCTGCATAGGGCAATATTTGCTGCAAGTTAACAATTATGTTAACACACCAGGGATTCACGTATATAAATATAAGAGACTGAGAACAGTTGTGTGTGCGGTGGAATTCAAAAAAGTCCAAAGGGCAATTGTGGCCATGCAATCGAAGCCATGTTCCTCTGTACATGCATATGATGATGTTGACGCAAAATACAAAAAGATGTAGGATTTGTATGCAGTTTGGTTACTAGACTCTACTTTCCCAAGAAATAACCAATCTGATGTGGTGGAAGCACACCAGATGATCCTAAAACAAATGCAAGTGGAAGTAGTAGGTTGTGGTAGGGAAGTACTAGGTTGTGGTAGGGTCACTCTTTCCAATGTTAAAAAAGACTCTATGAGTAATACACAAGGGGATAAAGGCAGATGTGGGGCACCAAACTTCCTGAAACCAAGAACATGAAACTTAAATGCAGATGAAGGCAATGGCCAAACACTTCTGCATTATGCAAAAATAGATCTGAACTGTATGGGTATGTCTGAAGATGAGAGTCTTAGGTTAAAGGAGGAGATGAAATGAACACACAAAAGCCACAGGAAAATCTGGTCACTGATGGTAGCAGTATTAAAATCATCAACATGCATCTGAAATGTAATATATTGGACGTATTAGGAATTAGTGCACAGCTTCAGAATGAGCACTTTAAATCAGATCTTACCTTGTACATGTGATAGTGATATTGATACTACAAAAGGGCATTGCTAGGTATGTGCTTGGCTGTAATCCAGTCATGATAATGTATAATAGAATGAGTGGATTTTCATGAGCATCTATGTTATACAAATAAAGGTAGCTATTCCAATGCAATGAAAAAAGGCATTGAGGAATTCTATGGCAAATTCAGTAGATGTTAGAAGCAAAATAGAAAAAAGGATATAGCACTAATAACCGATGACTTGAATGTAAAAGTTGGTAAACTGAAGAACCTGGAATCACATAATTTTGCAAATAGAATTCTTTCATTATTGCAAACACCTTCTTTATCCAACATAAATGCAGAATCTACACCTGGATGTGCAACATCAGAATCAAATCAACTATATAATAGGAAACATAATCCAACTAGCCAAGATATTTTCATGTGTATCAGATTATAAATTACTGCTATTAAACAGTCTGGTAAAAATAAAAAATAAAAGAAGTAGATGTGATCAAAAAGAGTTACAGTCAACAAATAAAATCCAATATAAGGAATAAAGTCAGTATATTTAACCTATGTGAAAGAAGCAAAGGGAAAACTAAAGTAGAAAAAAAAATTCCCAAGGAGGAAAATATTCAAGTAGCTTTCCGATGCAATTAAAGAATGAAGGTAACCAGAAAGACATGATGCCTGAATTTAGACTTCCAACACTAAGCAGCAAAGGATGATGAAATATTAAGAATGTTAATAGAAGAAAACAACAAGTAAAGGACAGACACTTTTAAGAGGATCAGAGAAATCTTAATAGCCTAAGTATACTCAAGAGTACAGTAAAATGTAATAGAAAAAATAAATGTTCTTAAGAAAGAAGAAAACAAATGCTATAACTTTTCTCAAGTAGAATAACATAATAATAGAAAGTTTGAAGAGATAGAATTCTGTTCAATTACTTTCTAGTGCAGGGGTTTTCAAACTTGGCCCTTTTATGACTTGTGGACTTCAACTCCCAGAATTCCTCAGCCAGCGTGCCTGGCTGAGGAATTCTGGGAGTTGAAGTCACAAGTCATAAAATGGTCAAGTTTGAAGACCCCTGTTCTAGTGGAATCAACTCTATTAGAACTGTAACAGAATAACAGAGCTGGAAGGGATCTATACCATTTCAGACAAATGGTTGTCCAATGTCTTCTTAAAAACCTCCAGTGCTGAAGCACTCACAACCTCTGGAGGCAAGCCACTCCACTGATTAAGGCAATAGATCAGCTACCAAACATAAAAGCGAATGAAATACACATGTGATTGTTGAAAGCTGCTTCTGCAGTACAATGAAAATGCTTGCAGTCTCATATTAATATGGGACACAAATTTGTACAATTTAGAAACTGGAAGAGAACAGTATATACCCCTGTGCTGAAGAAAGAGATGCAAGAAGATGTGCAAATCAGTGATACTGCGCTGATTCCTACTGAAAGCAAAGTCTTCCTTTTGGTCTTACCAAGAGGATGAAATAGCCTGTAGCCTACACTGAATATCATGCAAGTGCTTGCCCTCATCTCGGTCTGGATAAAATTTTCTTCAATTATCTTTTGTCCATTGGCATGAACTCAGGATAGGAGCTGCTGAACAGTACACAGTGTGGATATGGCAGTCTGCCTCCCAGAGTCGCTTAATAGTCGGATGATTAGCAAATAAATTGAATGAATGAATGAATGAATGAATGAACACAAACAAACAAATAAATAAGCAAGCAATCTCTTAGCTTGGACAGCCCTTCAAATGTATGAGGTCTTCAAATACCAGCCTTTTGTCTTGTATAAGATAGGACACATGGCAAAAAGGAGAGAGAGAGGAGAGATGGGAGTGAGGGGGTGGTGGTGGAGGAAGTGGCACAATCTATTTCATATTTTTTTTAAATTATAATGGGACACCAAAGGAATGGTGATGATGTCATTGGCGAAAATGGGGGTTGAACTTTTCAGTCTTCTTTTATGTTTCTTTGTTAAAATAGGGCAGTAGTTCTCAAGCTTTTCTTCACCATGGACCCCCTTTAAATATCTTTTGTGGCCATGGTTCATGGATACAGACACCCAAAATTTAACTCAAGATTTAAATCATAACATTTCCTCAAGCCTTCGCAGACCCTCTGTGATGACATGGCGGCCCCCTCCAGGGGTCTTCAGATCACAGGTTGAGAACCAGGGAAATAGGGGATAGGTTGAGGCACATGGGATATGTTAGGCTTCCAGCTCTTTTTCTGGGAAAAAAAATCACCCCTGTGAAAATATTTAGGCCAGGAGTGTTCAACCTTTACAACTTTAAGATTTGTGGACTTTAGGTCCCAGAATATCCCAGCCAGCAGCCATATTCTTAATTTGCATGTCCTTTTGAACCTAAATATGATTATCCTTTGTGATGAATTACCTTCACTGCCACAAAAGCAGAATCTCCTTTGTATCCTGATCGTGTAATTTTTAAAGACAGCATCTCCTCATTTTCGCACACTTCATACTCATCCTGCAGCAGTGCAATTTTACACCATTTTAGTTCCAACCTATTGGAAAAGAGAGGAAGAAAACATAACAAGGAAATCTCATAAAAATCCCCCCCAAATCCCTGCTGTTTGTCTCTGTTGTTAATGCAAATTTATTTTTTTCTAGCTGTGTGTCACTGTTTTAAAGAGAAGATTGGTCTTAAGAGAGGTAAATAGTTGAACTAATCAAAATTAAGCTTTGTTTGTGTTTTTAACTGTAGTTTTATACCTGGATCACACCATGCAGGAAAAAAAACGTGCTTTTGCCTGGACTGATGACAGCTATTTCTATGATTTTAGGATTAGTGGTTTAATGACGTGCAAATAGAAATGATTAATTTCTGGCTTGCAGGTTTTTATAGCAAGACTTCGGAACAATCTGGAAGGACTTCCCTAATCTGGTATTAGGTTGACAGATATGGAAAATGACAGAAAGGCAAAAGTTCAGTAAGAGTAAATCAAAAGTAATAGTAATAGTAGTAAAGTTGGAAGGGACCTTGGAGGTCATCTAGTCCAACCCCCTGCTCAGGCAGGAAACCCTACACCATTTCGGACAAATGGCTGTCCAGTCTCTTCTTAAAAACTTCCAGTGTTGGAGCATTTACTGCTTCTGGAGGCAGGCTGTCCCACTTGTTATTTGTTCTCACTGTCAGGAAGTTTCTCCTTAGTTCTAGGTTGCTTCTCTCCTTGATTAGTTTCCACCCGTTGCTTCCTGTCCTGCCTTCAGGTGCTTTGGAAAATAGCTTAATTCCCTCTTCTTTGTGGCAGCCCCTGAGATATTGGAATACTGCTATCATGTCCCCCCTTGTCCTTTTCTTCGTTAAACTAGACATACCCAATTCTAGCAACCGTTCCTTATATGTTTTAGCCTCCAGTCCCCTAATCATCTTTGTTGCTCTTCTCTGTACTCTTTCTAGAATCTCAATGTCTTTTTTACATTGTGGTGACCAAAATTGGATGCAGTATTCCAAGTGTGGCCTTACCAAGACATTGAAGAGTGGTATTAATATTCACGTGATCTTGATTCTATCCCTCTGTTAATGCAGCCTAGCACTGTGTTGGCCTTTTTGGCAGCTGCAGCACACTGCTGGCTCATATTTGATATAGTGCTAAAGATGCTAGTCTAGAAACTACAGTAGGAGACTGTGAGTTCTAGTCCCACCTTAGGCATGGAAGCCAGCTAGGTGATTTTGGGCCCAACCCACCACACAGGGTTGTTGTCATAGCGAAAAGTAGGAAGAAGGAGCATTATGTATGTTCACTGCATTGAGTTATTTATAAAGTAATAAAGGTGGGGTAAAAATCCAGTAAGATGGAGATACAACATAAAGGGGCAGAGGAATAGGATATCCTCAGTGAGTTTCATTTTTCTTTTTTAAAGTTACAAAATAATTCTCCTTCTGTTCCCATCCATAATTTCATTTCATAATGTCTACAATTCTGTAAGAACAGAGGGAAACTTTAGGACTCTTGTTAGACATTTCGAGTACAATGCAGGTAACTACTTTTTGCAGAACCGAATGTGTAGCTTAAGTGTTCCATAGCCTGATGTCCTGCAGATGTTCATGGTCTGCAATTCCTCTCAGTATGGCCAAATCCTTGTGAGTCATGAAGTACATAGGACAACTATTGCTGTGGTTTAAGTCTAATCTATCGTACAATATGATCATAAGAAGAAAACAGCAAAAAATGAATGTCTAATTTTTATTGGATTTTACTTTTTTGACTAAGGACAGAATACAGATGATGGAGATACATGTCATATATAAGTACCCTCATTAAATATAATTAAAGTGAAATCCACATGCTGTTCTAGGTCATTTTTATCCTCATATAAAGGCTGCAATTTGAACCACTTGTCCATTCTACATCTAGCATATCGGAGGATTTCAGAAATTCAGTGGGAAAGTACCACAGTACCTTCTATTTAAAAATAAATATAATTAATGCTGGAAAAGAGGTATAATGGCACTGAAGCAACTGTTACCATTCCACGGTGTTCTTTTTTACACTCAAAACCAAAATAGCAAAGAAATAGAAGAGAGGTTTCAGTTAAAGTCACCTATTTTTGTCCCTCCAAGGAATCTGTTCCAATTATATTAAAAGTAACACCCTACAGAGCTTTTCCCATATTATTTTAAACTTTAACAAGCAAAAAAAAAAAGAATAATGAAAAAAAGCTGGTCACATTAGGCAGGATTTTAAAAAGAGTCTGTTACTTTTTATTGAAAAGTATGGGCTTTGTGAAATACTACTGCCTGCTTTATCAAATGCATGGAGCGGCTAAAATTGAGCTACATCTGTTTAGTCACTCTGTGCATTTGATGAAGTGAGCTATTGATTCAAACAACATTATAGGGCTACCTATTGTCCATCACAGCTGATGTGAATAGAAGAATGCAACTGGGGTACCTGTAAATGACCCTGGTACATTTCCCAAAAAATACTGTTTCTACCTTCAGAGACATCATTTTGTGCAGGAGGCAGATTTCAGTGCTAGATAAAAGAAAGAGCATGTGCTGACAGCTGTTATTGAAACACTGTTGAGAAAAAGGTCAGGTCTGGGGGAAGCTTTCAAAATATAATTACACTCTTTGTCATTTTGAAAAATCTTACTAAGGATTGTTGCATAGATTTGCGACATGTTACAATCCCAGAACTATAGTGACCTCTAGCTGTCAGAAAGTACATCAAAAGATGGTTTTTTCCCCATTTTCAAGTGGATGTTTCCTTTGAGGAGTGATTTACAGCCAAAGTTCCCCTCACAAGTAGAAACGCTGTTTATCAGTGTCATAGTGTCATCATTAAAGTTGTGCTGTTCTGCGTCACAATGAGCATAATGCCTGTCAATCCTTCACTAAGAAAACATAATGAAAAAAACGTGGATACTTTTCCCCAATTCAATGCATATTTATAAGAGAAAGAGATGATGGCCTTGAGTTCAGGAGATGAATTGTCCTCAGCGCTCCTAAGATTGGGGAGAAATAGACACTCCCCCCCCCCCATACGCTTTCAACCCTACATATTGAAGAAGGAGGAAGCCCTGTGTCACTCAGAAGAACTTGCAACAGAAGCTGCAGCAGAATTTCCCGAAGAAAAGCTGGGAAAATAAGGGTCAAGTGCATTCCGGTCTCCGTGCAGTAGCCAATCCAAATGCAGAGGGTTGTCTATAGCAGGGCTTTTCAACCAGTGGTACATTGGCACTTGGCAGGTGGTACGCGACCATCCTAGAAAAGTGGTAGCAGGGGAGGGGAATGAGCTGACCCAGTGGCAGCACCGCACAAGCCTGAGCAAGAGATGGCTGGAGCTGCAGGGGTGTCAGGGCTCAGCGGAAGTGCCAGGATCAGCGCCAGGCTCCAGCTGGAGCTCGGTGCTGATCCTGACGCTTCTGCTGAGCCCTGAAGAAGCACCAATCAACTGGAAAGCAGCACTGATCCTGGCACTTCTGCTGAGCCCAGAAGGCGCACTGATCAGCTGGAATGTTGCAGCATCTCCAGGGTGTTGTAATTTACATTCAGATGCTTGGCAACTGATTCATATTTATGACGGTCACAGTGTCCCAGGGTCACGTGAAGTGACCAAAACCTGCTGCAACCACCCAGCAGACGGGGGGAATAAAAACCAAAAACCACCCCACCCCCGCTGCCAATCCTGAACAGAAATGCTCACAACAATGAAAACCTCAGATAGGCAAGCGGGCAGGCAGGTGTCTTGCTCGGCTGTGGCTTAGGGGGCACTTTTTTCAATGCCATTGTAACTTTGAACAGTCACTAGACGAACTGTTGTAAGTCGAGGACTACCTGTACTTTATCACTTTTTTCCTTTTTCCTTTTTTTTTTTTTTTTGTGGTCATCAAGTTTTTGATACCTTGCTAGGTGACTGGTGGTACTCGGATGTTGCCATATCCTAAAAGTGGTACAATGGGTGAAAAGGTTGAAAAGCCCTGGTCTACAGCAAAACACAGGAGAAAAATTGAAGAACAATACTTGACTGGCAAAACTCTGCTTTCAACATAGACCATGAAAATAGACGTCTCATTCACAGTAGGTAGGGAGTGAATAGAAAGCAATATTTATTCCTGCCAACCCAGAAGCTATTGGTGGTCCGTACTCATCATTTGGGGCCATCTAGCAGGGCAGAGGCACCCTTATCTGTGCAATAGGAACTTCTCAGCCTGAATTTCACCTCTGCCAGGAGATCTTGAACAGGGCAATTTCTTAGCTTTGCCTAACTTTATGCCTAAGGATAATGACTAAGTTCATACATCACATTAAGTCATAAACCCAGCAGCTAGGTTCATATTGCATTAAGCCAAACCAAGTTAACAACATTATGCCTTAATGCAGTGGGTAAACCCAGGCAAAGCATATGGGTGCACTGTGAAATCTAAATGGATTTGAAGTATTACTATCATTTAAGAGTCAACATGGCAGCAATTTCCTGGACTAAATGTTTTCTTTCAACAAAACAACAACAGATATTTTAAAAAACAACAACACTGCTTTCGTGGTGGATTTTGCAGTATAAACCTGCAAGGCTCAGCAATTCCATTAGTTCAGTTTCAAAGCTGATCCTACACGACCTGACTTAAGGAAGCAAGCAGTACTTATTGGGAATGATGTAAGTGTTTAGAGAAAGGAAATCTTAGCTTACATTTGGGGGAGAGAAGAATGTCCTTCAGGATCCGCAACCTGAAATTCCAGGTCATCTGAATTTTCCTCCCAGTAAGGATCAATGACATAAAATATTATTTTGCTATTTAAATCTTTCTGGCTGAATTGTTCTTGAATAATTTCTCCTGATAAAATAAAGAAGATATAGAAAAATCAAAATATTCTTTTAAAAATAAGTTGTGTCCACACTTGTCTAGACCAGGCGTTTTCAAATATTTTCAAGCCCTGGAAATTGCTAGTTAAAAGACAAAAATCAAAACAAATCCCAGAAACCATGATCAAAAGACTAAAGTTTGCTGATAGAAAATTGCTTCCCCCCTCCCACCCACCCCAGTCACTTATGGAACATACTATAGGCTTCCACAGAACACAGTTTGAACAACCCTGGTGCAGTCAATTGTTAGAGATGACAATTGTTACTTGGTCAGGTAATTGAAAAATCACTGAAAAATGTGTCGTGGCTGCCAACGTATCAGGAAATAAATACAATTCACTAGGATGGGGATGATGTGATGTTGTTAATTTAATGTCAATAGCAGAAAAGAATGGCTTAAAGGATTTGACCAATATTTCAATTACTTCTTTCAAACTGGAAGGAGTTAGCCTGGATGTTTTGTCTTAAAACACCAACAACCTCCTGATTCTCTCTCTCTCTCTCTCTCTGTCTCTCTCTCTCTCTCTCTCTCTCTCTCTCTCTCTCTCTCTCTCCCTCCCTCCCTCCCTCCCTCCCTCCCTCCCTCCCTCTCTCTCTCTCTCTCTCTCTCTCTCTAACTTACAAGAGTGATGTGCAGCCTTCACTGCTGGCTTCTCCATTAACTTTGCTTGTGAGAGGCTGGCAGAGAAAGTTACAAATGGCAATCACATGATCACGGGACATTGCAACCGTCGTAAGTGCAATCTGGTTGCCAACCATCGGATCATGATCATGTAATTGCAGGGGTGCTGGGATGGGCAGATGTTTGAGGACCAGGACAATGTTTGGCATTGTCATAACTTGGAATTGTTGCTGAATGAATGGTCTTTAACTGAGGACTACCTGTAGATGGACTCTTGCAAGACCTCTCAAAATACTTTCCTAGGAATTGACCAAGGTGTTCCCAAAGCCACTTCTGTACAGAGCCCAGAGAGGCAGGAATCCTGGCAGAAGTAGGAACTGTTATGATCAAATCTGTCCTGCCTTCCCAGATTTGCCTCTTTGCTTCTACTCTATCTCCACCTATCCCATTGCTAGTGCTACCACCGCTGCTGTTGAAGGAGATTCTTTCCAGTAAACATGAACAACAAATATGGAACGGATAAAGGGACCAGGAGAATTAATGGGGAAAAGCAAGTATGTAGGGGAAAATAGCTCTCATTTATAAGACATATTGTCAATTTACAAAATAGCACAGAACCATAGGGGGAAAAAACCCCACCAATTATTTTTTAAAAAAATCTAAATAGATACACAACTTGGAGTTATACATTTCTGTAGAATCTTAACTATATTTTACTGACCAAGATGTCTATTTCTTTCACATTCCATAATAAATCTACAATGAGCACGCTCAGACTTGGCTTTTGTGGCTATATTATTACTCATTCAAAGAATGTTATTGGCATCCAGAAGCAATCCTCAAATTCTAATTTTTCCCAGGCTTCTTCTATCATTCTTCTTCTCACAATACATCAGTTATGTAAAAAGAAGTGGAAGAATGGTGAAATGGTTTTTAATTAGTCACAGTAAGACTATCCTTCTGGGAAGGGAAATAATATTAACATTCTGGGAAGGAATAAGAGAGCCAGTTTGATCCAGAGGATAAGGTACTAGGCTAGAAACCAGGAGACTGTGATTTCTAGTCCCATCTTAGGCATGAAAGATAGCTGGGCCAGCCACCCTCTCACAGCCCTATTTACCTCACAGGATTGTTGCTGTGGGAACAACACAATAGGATGAGAAAGGAGTACTGCGTGTGTTTGCCACCTTAAGTTATTCATATTAAAAAAATGTGGAATAAAAACATTTTTAAAAAATCTTACATCCTTATGAAACATAAGCTGTAATACCCGCAAGTGAGATGATATAAGACAGGTTATTAGGACACAATACCTGTTGTTATATTTTGCAAGGAGCCATACCGAGGTCCTCGTAAAATTTTAAAAACAATTTGATCATCTTCAGTATCACAATCTGCTGCTTTCAAGGACCGCATTGTAATGTAAATTCCATAGCTGCCATTCTGCAAAAGTTCCACATCCGAAGCTGTATGAAGATGAACAATTTCTGGTGCTGTGTTTGCTGGGCTATCCACCTGTAGGAAAAAAATAATTTCTATTACTGTTCAAAGGTTAGTTTGTAATAAAAGTAATGTGTAAATACTACTTTGTGAAACTGAACACTTGTATAATCAAAATCAACATCCATGCTGTGAATTAGACTTAATATTATATAGGGAATCGAGCACATGTAATCCAAATTATATTTGAAGATTCTGAAAATGTCTGAATGCACCGGAGAAAAAAACATACTGAAATTAATCTTGTTTTATTTTAAACATAAGCATATTCAGTCTTAGTATCTCTTGACTGCTACGGGCTGCATTGTAGCATTATTAAATAAATAAATGCAAAAACCTTATGTTTGCACACTTTCTGTATATTGAATTAAGTTTGTATGCATGAATGTAGACGTTTATGTAGAACTTGCCTGAATAATAAATGGCAAGGGGTCTACTTGCAGCTTGTTATTTACAAGAAATCCTTGATTTATTCCGTCTGTTGCCATAAATGAAAACCTGTCCATCTGTGAACCACCTCCTCCATGTTTATAGGCTACATTCAGATTGTCCACATCTCGTTGGCTGAAGTTTTTCTGCCATAATCCAGTTTCCCTGTTATAGATTTGACCGTATTGTGGGAACTGTGTTAGGAGAAAAGAAAGATTTTGTGGTGGTGTATCTGGGTCTGAAAGTTGGAGAATATCTGGAGAAAGAACTGCCGTGCTGCCTTCAAAGAGTCTCAGGCCCTTGTTCTTGACCACGCTGGGTAAACTTCGATCCACTGTCCCCAAGATGATCTCAAATTCTCCATGTTTAGTTCTTAGCCCATTGCTGATGATGAATCTGGCAAAAAGAGGCAAGGCATCCTTCAGCATGTGTTCCTGTTGCACCATCTACTGAAATGAAACAGACACCTTTACTGAAAAGCTTGTCTCTTACTGTCTACTAAGTCCCAGTTTCTGGCTGAACGGCTCTTGTGGCACGTTTCAAGCGCAACATTTGAAACTCAAACTCTAGAAACAGGCTACAAGTTGTAGAAATGGGCTACAATGGCATGTATGTTTTACTAATTTTAGTAAATGTAGTAAATTATTAAATATTTGATTTATACATTTTTATTAAATATTTTATTTAGCAATTGCTTCATGTTATTAGGCTGCCTTCTGAATGTTCAAAACAAAATTCATGGAACTATGTTATAAACCAGGGGTCCCCAGCCCCCAGTCCATGGACTGGGACTGGGCCGTAGCATGCCAGCAACCGGTCCACACAAACAAGCAATGCCCCATCTGTGGGAATGCAGGCAGCACACAAAACCACACACTTTGAATGGTCGGTAAGCAAACTGTTGTAAGTCAAGGACTATCTGTACAATTTAACATTCCAAAAACTCTGCTGAAAAATCAAAATGTCTTCTCTGAGCATTGATAAAGTAACAGTCCTTTAATTGTCTGGGAAACTGGTTCCAAGTAAGAATGGCAGAATAAATGTATTTATTCCCACCTGAATGGAAATTGGTCTAACTTTATGTTTTCCAACGAATATTTAATTGCAACCTACCTATTCCAAATCCACACTTTTTCAAATTTTTCAGCATTGTCAATTTTAAAAAATAGGAAAAGGTATTTTTAGGAAAATATCAAATCTGCACATATTCATTAAAGTAATGTACAAAAATGTATTTAAAAAATTGTAAATTTTCAAATATCACAGACTCGGTGCATACACAAAGAGTACAATCCTTAGGTTTGTAGAAATATATAGTTAAATATGTATTACATTTAGTGTAGGCTTAAAAAGAATACTAACATTTGATGAAACAACAGATTCCCCATAATGAGACAAAGAGAAATCAGGATGGACATTTAAATAAATAAATCTGTTTTTTATAACAATAAAAATAAGAAAATCCATTAGATGTGTTAATTCTAAATCTACTGTAGATATGTTGCTGATTCTAAATTCAATCGCTGGTACATTTAGCTCGCTACAACAGAATCAGAGTGCCAGGAAATCATCATATCACAAGCATAGGCCACGCATAAAATAATAAATATTTGAAAAAATGTAATTCAAGTTTCTTAATCTGAAGGCCTATCCTTGAACACCTGTGTCAGGAATATGCCAATACATTAAGTTTACATGCCTACAGTCGAGTGGTTCCACTAAATAAGAGTTTGGAATCTATCGATGAGAGCAATACTGATATCAAAGCTACTGGCACTTTTACTGCTGCTTAAGAATTGACCAACGTGTGTGTAGGCTCTGTGCCATCAAACAGCAGCTGCCCACACTGACCTAGTATTTGTGCCAAGACGAAAACTGATTCTCTGTAATCAGTTTAGTTACACCAGATTTTCATCTGGAATAATAAAGATTATAAGCATAGTTGGGGGTTTCAGAGCAAAGACCACCGACACCAAGTAGACCAAACGTTCTCCTTCACTGGCAATGGTTTTCTGATTGAAGGTATCCTTAGTTGTTTTAGAAGGCAACAGGAATTGGCTAACTTTGTTTAGCCTGGAAAACTAAACAGGATGAGGCCTGGCTAGGAACTTCAGGAGAACTCCAGAGAGAGAAAGAAGTTTAAAAAAAAAAAGAAGAAGCAAAAACATAAAACAGAAATGGCAAACCATCCTCACATTGCTGCCAAGAAAATTTGAAGGATATATCAGTGATGTGCCATGAAAAAAACAATCTATCTCCGGTCTGCTTCAACTCCTGCTTAAAATTAAAGAACTATAAGAATACAGAACAGAAGTGCCCCTATAATAGCTCCAGGAATGTATATTATTCCTCAAGACCATCCCGTCTGGTGGGATGCATTTCTGTGGACACAAGTTCTCTACACAGACTCTGGAATTTCTGCTACCTTAATGTCTCTTGGGTTAAAACCAGCCAGTAGAATAAAAATATTAATATTAAATTATTATTGGTACTTTGAAAAGGCCAACAAAGGTGCCGGGTTCAAACCTAAGAAAGTGAAGGAGATTTAGTGAGCAATTTCGATATGAGACTAGATGAAGGGCTTTGCTATTTTAGTAGATTAATAAATACCAAGCAAACAACAATCTGTGCTAGGTTCTTCGAGACAACAAGGTTGTTGGTTTTGAAGGATGTGCTGGGTTCCTATCTACTACATGTTGTTTATTTCATGCTGAGTCTTCTCTGTGTTTCCCCCTGGAATAGGGAACAACCAACCTTCTCATAATTCTGATGAAATTTAGGAAAAATAACTCTCCAGCTTAGTTGGGAAGGCAAGTTGTATGATCTGATTTCACCATTATCATGCTTTTGGAGTTCATGGCAATTGAGTTGGCTACAGAACCTGCCATCTGCCGTGGTATTTACAACAGAAAAATGGAGTGATGGTGCCAGCTCATTACAAAACTGATCCACCGTGTCAAAATGGAGGACATTAGCATGTTCTTTTAGCATCCTGCTGCCAGCATCTGATGTCAGATTGCTAATCACTTGAAGTCATCTGTCCTAAACAAGCACTGCCAAATCCTTCTTCCAGGCCAGCAGCAACAGACAATGTTGTAAGTTTATGATGGAATAAAGTGCCTTAACGGACGGTAAAAATCTAATCATTTAATCCCCCCATTTAATTAAATATCACCAGCTCTTGATGTTTTAGTTTTTAATAATCCATTGAGGTATTTATATTTCACCGTATAACCAAATACCTCGCCAAATTCTAGCAGGCAGGAACATCATTTACAGTGATTAAAATGGAATCTATATCTTCTTTTCCTTAAAATTGTCTTGTTAAAATTAAACTGGCCTGGATTTTAATACACTAGGCATATAATCTACATGATGTCACTACAATTTAACTATATGCCTATATCTATCCATATCTGTGGTCAGTATGGAACCCATTTCTGTATTCAAGCAAACAAATGTAATATCTACCATTTCAATTAAATGGGGAGGTGTTTAATTGGCATTTTGAATATGAATAAGATCAGGTTTTCCAATTAATGAAAAAGAGAAAAATCAAAATTGAGAAGAGCAAACTTATACCAAAGTGTTAATAGATACAGATTTGTTTTATTAATTAGCTGCCATGCTTTTTAATCAGCTAGGCAATGAGATACACAACTGCAAATATATTAGAATATTTTGAACATGTTAATGAGAATATGTCTCACAACAATGTAAAAACAATTTTAGCATTTGAGAAATGTCATCTTAATTGTGTCACCTGAATTAAGATGCAACAAAGGTATTTAACAAGGGTCAATTCTGCTTTAACCACAAAACCTACACCTGATTGATATGTTAATAATCAATTAATATTTCAATCTCAGTCTTTGAAAACTATTGAACAATCTTAAATAAAGTATGTTTTGACAAACCCTGAGCATATAATTTAGATTTTTCAATCTGCAAGTAACATTATGTTGCCATTTTTCCCCATCCATTACTGCAGGTCATGCATGCCCCAATATACCCCTGAAACACAGGATGTCATTTCCTCATAACATTTTATTGTTCAAACATTTTGAATTTTACACTTTTTTATTCCAATTTTTCTTCTGGTTGTAAACACTGAGCTAACACTTGCATCTGCAAGGTAAACCTATGCTCAAATACATTTGCCTACTTTTTTTTCATATATCACACATTCTGGGGAATTCTGGGAATTGAAGTCCACACATTTTCAAGCTGCTAAGGTTGAGAAACCCTGCAGACTTCAGTGAGAGAATCAAACTATATGTGGTTATGGCAGGGGTCTTCAAACTTGGCCCTTTTATGACTTGTGGACTTCAACTCCCAGGATTCCTCAGCCAGGCATGCTGGCTGAGGAATTCTGGGAGTTGAATTCCACAAGTCATAAAAGGGCCAGTTTGAAGACCCCTGGGTTATGGTGTAGGACTGGAACTGATGAATGCAGGGTCAAGACCATCTGCAGCCAGGGAACCCTACTGGGAGGTATGAGATGGTTACTTGCTATCAGCAGAACCAATCTCACAGATTTGTTCAGGGATAACAGGAAGGGAGATCCCTATATGAGGGACAGCAACTTGAATTCTTGGCGAAAAGGAAGGATAATTATCTTCCTCACTGCCACCAGCACATGGAAAATACTGACAATTGAACTAAACTGAAGTTAAACGGTCTTCTTTTGTTTGAGCAATTTTATTCCTTTTCTATATTTATGTCACCTTCCTTTCCTAATGGCCCTTATAAGAAGCTAGCAGAGTCTTACCCTCTTTACATATTATCAGAGTAGAGAAGAAAGTAGAAGCTGTTCTTAAAACTCACAGGAAGAGAGACCTATAGGAAATATACAATGTCTAGCCTCAGGAAAACCCAGACTTAAGGTATATAGGTGTGGCCAAGAATGCTGATGAATACTGGGAATGCTTATTAGAAGAATGCAAATAATAAGAAGCAAGAATAGAGGAAAAAAAGAATGTTCCAAAGAAATATTTTTTTAAACTTTCAAAGTATATATTTAAAAGTTATTCACACTCATGTTTGATTTACATTTGAACATTTGTGCATTTAACTTGCCCTCAACAGCTTATTTCATGGGTTATTTAACACTTGGAGCTAATTTGTATTCATTTAAATAAAATTAGAGTATAGACTGGCTTCAAAGATAGCATGAAGCTTACACCATGAAGCTTACACCAATGACAACAAGGGAACATCAAAATTAAATTAACCTCAGAATGAATACCCAATAAAAGGCAGCTGTAAAATTAAAACAACTTTAAATGTTTAGTTCAATGCTAAGCTAAAACAAACTCCATTTAATAGCTGAATAAAACTTTTAAGAGAAAGTACAGGTGGTTCTTGACTTACCACCACAATTGAGCCCAAAGTTTATGTTGTTAAGTAAGAAATTTGTTAAGTGAATTTTGCCCCATTTTATGATTTTTCTTGCCACATTTGTTAAGTGAATCACCACAGTTGTTAAATTAGTAATGCAGTTACGTGAATCTGGTTTCTCCACTGATTTTGCTTGTCAGAAGGTCGCAGACATGATCCTGGGACACTGCAACCGTCATAAATACGAGTCAGGTGCCCAGTATCCAAATTTTATTCACATAACCATGGCGATGCTACAATGGTCATAAGTCACTTTTTTTCAGTCCTGTTGTAACTTTGAAAAGTCATTAAACGAACTGTTGTAAGTTGAGGACTGCCTGTAATCAACAATAATGTGATTTCAAGGTTTTTTGTAAAAGACTCAAAGGATTGGACCAGCCACAGGGGAATTCAAAGAGGACAATCTGATTATACCATTGCGGTGCAAGATCCAGGCCTTTTGTGATGAACTGACACCAATCCCACCATGACTGTCAACGTTTTGATGAAATCAAATATGCAAACACACACGATAAGGTGATAATCAGTCCGACAGGTATAGGATTATAGTTGTTATCCTATGACTGCCAATTTACAGAGATGGAGATACAAGTGGGGCTTTGGATTATGAATTTAAAGCGATATGGATGAAAGAAGGTCAAGTAACTCAGAGCCAAGCCTTTTAAGCCTTTGAAGATTAAGGCTGTAAAGGTTTTTTTTTCCCCAGTGCAAAGTCTCTTTCAAGTTAAACTTAACTCATAGTAATTTAAAGGGTATTTTCGTGTAATTTCTCTGCCAGCAGGATGGAAATGGTTTCCCATTGCCATCTTCCAGGATGCTGGTGGTGCTGCCTCCCGAGACAGCAATATTTTAATCTGAGCTCAGAAATACGTCACCAGTAAGAGCAACCGGCATGGTGCAGAAATGAGTCTGTAATAGCTGAATTCTATATTTGCAGAACTGCCTATGAAGTATAGGACCAAGAGCATTCAGCAGCAGCTTATATGATTCTTAAGCATCACTTTGTTCCAGTATTGGACTCCAGACTCCTATGAAACACAGTTGTCAGAGTTTACGTCAAAGAATTATGGGAGCTGGGGTCTAAGATATTTGGAAGGCACTGCATTGCTAGTCCAACATATTGCTTTGTTTATGGCTATGTAAAGATGAACTAGTCCTAATTTGAATGATTAACAGATGACAGCAAAGAGATACAGAAAACTCATACTCTGCTGCTATTGGACGGTTGTTGGGATTTCTGCAACCTGGATCTGAATTTCCTCTGTTGCTCAACCATTTATACTGCCTAATTAAATACACTTTCTATAAAGCAAGACTCTTCTCTGCTTACCTGAATGTATCTCTAGAGGAAGATGCTTTATTACTGTGGACATAGCAGACCTTCTGCCCTGCTATATCCATTTGGCTGAAACTTGTAATGGGAATTCCAGGATAGCTGACATATTCTATCTGTCCATACTGTGGTGGGGAAGTAATCACATAGTGTAGCTCCTCTGGCTTCTTGGTACCATCAACTGCAAGGAGGACATCAGTCATCAGGAGGCCTTTGTCACCCATCCACACAGTGAGGGGTCTCATAATCAGCGCAATGTTTCCTATAAGACATTTTAAATATGGACCATTATCAAATATTTTGTATCAGCCTTTCTCAATATCATGAATCAGGTTACAATTTTTATCACCCGCTCACTAGGGCATAAAATCTGCTATATTCTGCCACACATTCATATGCACAGGCCTATCCCAATTTGATGCTTTCTAGATATCTTGGACTACATCCTTTCTCTCCTCCTCAATCAGGATAGTGTTTTATTGCACATGCATATGTGTTAGTTTTGCCCACCGGGGAACATCCAGATATACTACATTTCAACTCCCACCCTCTATTCAGGGGTTCTCAACCTTGGCAACTTTAAGACTTGTGGACTTCAACTTCCAGAATTCCTCAGCCAGCAAAGCTGGCTGAGGAAGTTGAAGTCCACAAGTCTTAAAGTTGCCAAGGTTGAGAACCCCTGCTGTCTATCCAGGTCAATACTGTATATACTATGTGAAGATCTAAAATAAAATTACCCTTTTCCACATCCTTAACAGCAACAGGAAAAACCACTTCTGGAGATCTGTTGCTTCCATCCCAAAGATGAAAGGAGAAGCTGTCTTCACTGTTTGTTCCAAGAGCTCCAGTGTGTATATACCTCACAGTGTTCATGTCTATATTCTCCTGGTTGCATTTCATCCCTTTGTACAGTGTCACCCAATCATGATCTACCTAGGACGGAAAATTGAATCATGACTTTGAGATATTATGTGGTGTATTATTATTATTATCATCATCAATATTAGAGTATTATTATTAACATTATATGCTGTCCATCTCCTAGTAATTCTGGTATTATATTATTGATGCAGTTGTTAAAAAGATTTTACTGCTGAACACAAGCTCTAAAACAGTGGTTCTCAACCTGTGGGTTGGGACCCCATTTGGGGTCGAATGACCATTTCACAGGGGTCGCCAAACAACGCAGTCCGCCATTTTGAATAGAGTCTAATTCTATTGGCTTTCAAAAGCCAATAGGAATTGTCCAGGCTGTCTCTGCCCTGCTGAGCCCGCCAAAAGTCCCATTCTGCAAACGGTGATGCACCAGTTGAGTAGTCCTCGACTTACGACCGGTTGAGTAGTCCTCGACTTACGACCGGTTGGGGGGTCGCGGCATTAAAAAGGTTGAGAACCACTGCTCTAAAACAAACTCCAGTCTTCTTCGACTTGGCACTTATCCCATCAACAAGTCAGCCAACACACAAAACACACGCTTATCCCCTGGCTACCAAAATTTCTCAAAAATTCACTTTTTTCCTGACTGCTTTATGCAGGTCTAGCTTTTATACATCAATGACTACCATTTGTATCAGAGTGGCAGCACTAAGAACTTTATTTGTAGGACATAACTAATCAGACATGCCTGCTAAATATGCTGTGCAATTCAATAAACATTGCGAAACTGACTATGGGATTACCGTATGAACTTTGGAAGACTGGGTTATGTAAAATCAACTTGTGAAGCTGAGACAAGAATGTGATAAGTGCCAAGGGTGGAGGGGTAAACTATAATCTCTACTTCTGCTAAAGTCTTGGAAGGCAGAGAAGGGCAAATTTCGTCTTTTAAAAAACAATATTTGTTTCAAAGGTATACAAAGGGATGATGACCCCATCCTATGCATATCTGCAGGCAGATAACTGGAATAATATAAAAAAGAAATAAGGTACAAGTCAAGCTGCAACTGTAATATCATTGGCTGCCAAATTTTCTTTCCTTTTCTAAGACTTCCCACTTCTCCCTAATTAAATCAGGGTGCCTTATATTTCCTTTCTATATACAGCAGCTGCCAAGCTTGTCCTGTGTCTCTACAACTGCTGTGTCTCCTAGGCTGAAGTGGCTCCAGGTTAGAGCCGCCCCTGAATTTTTGAACGGAAACTCTTAGAATAGTGATGGTTGAGAAAACCTGCCATATTCCTTGGCAGTGTATAACATTGTTCAAATTCAACATTAGTAGCATTTTGATCATTAAAAAAATGTTAAAGCTGTGATGGATTTTCAAAATTATCTCATGCTCACGTTTCCAATATAAACAGGGAACCCTTCAATGGATTATTTTTTTAAAAAAAACCTGTAAATTCTATTAGTCGCTGCAGTGTATTTTAGTCCCATGACAGATATTTAAGAAACAGAAGGATTACACTCTCTCCCATTCTTAGTGAAGACTTGAATCTCTTTTTCCAACACTTTGTTTGCTTTTGTTGAAAAGGAAAAACTAACCTTGAGCTGAAGATGTCCATTTTCTGGAATTCTTTCAAATAGATAATAAATTTGTTCCCGAGGAGTATCTTTATCTTCAGCTGACAAAACAGCACTGGAAATTATCTGTGCTTCCCCCATATTCACCTCTATCTTACCCTTTCTGCAACAGAGAAACAAAGATTCTTTGGAAGTGTGCTTAAAATGAAAATAATCACTGAAATGTTCAAGAGAACACATATCTATGTGCACAAAATTTCAGCATAAGTAGAGAAGGCTCCGTGGTGGTATTGTGGTTCCATGATATGTATTGAGATTTTAAATTATGAACTGATTCACAAAAATTATGAAGACAAATAGAGGCATACTAAATCATGCCTTTTTCTGTTTCTTTTGTGATTTTTTTAAATAAATTATCATCTCAATCTATTTAAAGTAAAACATAGTTCTTATGATTTAAGAATGAAATTAATTAGAAAGTATTGTTTCGTATCTAGTGGACTGCTCAAATAATATTTTAAACAGATAGGATGTGAGATTTATTTTTTGCCCCAGCTGTATAAGAAATTTTAGGATACTTTAATTCATATATTTTGGTTTGAAATCAGAGTATACTTTAATATAATTTTTAAGAAAAATGTAATAACCAAAAATGCACATGTGATGTTTAACTATGCTTCTAAAATATGGAATTTGTCATTTCATGAAATGCTTTAGCTCTAGTACAGTGGTGGCGAAACTTTTAGAGACCGAGTGCCCAAACTGCAACCCAAAACCCACTTATGCATTGCCGGGTGCCGGTGGGCGTGGCCACCAAGTGGCCATGGCCACCGAGCTGTCGGCTTGTGCTCACTCACTCGCTTGCTCGCTGTCCGCTCTGAGTTGTGCTCACTCTCTCGCTGTCTGCAGCAAATGCTGCTTCTGCCAAAAGTTGCTCTTTTTATAGCCTCTCCCCTATTCCCAGACTGCGCATGCACAGAAAGGGGGCATTGACTTACCTGAACGCCTTTTCTCAGCACGGAGATGGATAATCCACGCAGTGGGTTGAGACTGTATTCCTGGCCAATCAGATCAGTCAGCCAAAGTTGCCACGCCCCGTCTTGGACCATGATCCTTTAGTCTTGACTCGAGCGCAGCCATTGACTGACAATAAGACGTTTTGGCTCCACTAAATATACCCTATTATTCTAGTCTATAAGGGCGGGTGTGGATTATCCATCTCCGTGCTGAGAAAAGGCGTTCAGGTAAGTCAACGCCCCTTCTCCAGCACTGGAGATGGATAATCCACGCAGTGGGACATACCAAAGCCTATTGTCCCTTGGGTTGGGGAATAGACTGGTCCCGTGTGCAACTTTGGTCTAGCACCTGCTGGAGAACCCTCCTACCGAAGGAGGCCTCTGCAGAGGAGTACCTGTCGATTTTGTAATGACGAATGAATGGAGAGGGCGAGGCCCAAGTGGCTGCCCTGCATACCTCTTCAATAGAAGCCTGCATGGCCCATGCTGCTGAGGTGGCAGCACTCCTTGTGGAATGGGCTGTGATATGCTTGGGGACTTGCAAGGACTCCGCCTGGTATGCCCCCGTGATGCATGCCCTAATCCACCTACCGATGGTAGAGGACGAGACCTTCCGGCCCCTAGTAGCAGGGTGGAAGGATATGAAAAGCGCTTCTGAGCGTCGGAATTCCGCTGTGCGTGAAATGTAATGTCTTAGTGCCCTGCGTACGTCCAAGGTGTGCCATTGTTGGTCCAGGGGATGAGCTGGGTTTGGACAGAAGTCTGGTAGGACTATTTCCTGTGATCTGTGAAAAAGGGAGTTGACCTTTGGAATGAATGAAGGGTCTATTCTTAGGACTACCTTGTCCCTGTGAAAATGGCACAGGTCCTTCCTCATTGAGAGAGAAGCTAACTCGGATATCCGCCGAGCTGACGTGATGGCTACCAAGAATGCTACCTTATGGGTCAGATAGCGAATGTCACATGTTTTGAGTGGTTCGAAGGGCGCTCTGGTAAGAGCTTGTAGTACTCGTGGTAGTTCCCACGATGGATACCTGTGCACGGTTGGCGGTCTGATGTTTGCAGCCCCCTTGAGGAAGGATCGTATTAAGGGATGCTTGCCCAAGGATTCACCGGGGCTGGCAGAAAGTATAGTTGAGAGGGCGGCGATTTGCCTGCGCAGTGTGTTTGGCGAGAGGTCCCTCTCTAGGCCATCTAGTAAAAATTCTAGGATCTTGGGAATTGTGATCCCTTCGAGTAACAATTCCTGTTTAGAGCACCATGATTGGAAGCTTCTCCACGTGGCCTCGTAGATATGGTTCGTGGAGGGGCGCCTTGATGCCTGTATGACCCTAATTACACCCTGTGAGCAAGCCCCCTTGGCTAAAATTGACCGTTCAAGAGCCAGACGGCTAGTTGTAGCCATTGTGGCTCTGGGTGGGAGATCTCCCCCTGCTTGAGGGAGATCCTCTCCGGAGGAATCCGCCATGGATTCGTGCGGGAGAGACTCCTCAAGTCTGCAAACCAAGGTCTCCTTGGCCAATAAGGGGCCACAAGGATTACCTCGGCCCTTTCCCGCAGAATCTTGCATACTACCGCCGGAAGGAGAGGTAAGGGTGGAAACGCGTACAGGAGCCCCCTTGGCCATGGGCTCCATAACGCGTCTGTCTGCTCTGCTCCCTTGGATGGGAATCGGGAGAAGAAGCGAGTTAGGTGGGCATTGGAAGGAGAGGCAAAAAGGTCCACCTGGGGAAGCCCGAAGCGGTGACAGATCTCCCTGAAGATCCTCGGGTGTAGTTGCCACTCCGAGTGATCTATTGTTGATCTGCTCAACAGATCTGCTTGGATGTTTGCCTCCCCCGATATGTGGTCGGCCTTTATGGAGGCCAGATTTTGTTCCGCCCAGGCCCCCAGTAGGAGGGCCTCGGCCGAGAGCGAGCGAGAGTGTGTGCCCCCCTGACGGTTTATGTGGGCCTTGGCTGTCACGTTGTCCGTCAGGACCAGTACGTGCCTGCCTTTTATGCTGCTGTGAAAATGCCTTAACGCTAGGTGAATAGCCCGCAGCTCGAGCCAGTTTATGTTGTGTCGGAGATCCACCGCTGACCAGCGGCCCTGTGTCCACTTGGTCCCCAAGTGGCCTCCCCAGCCGAATAAGCTCGCATCTGTTGTGACTACTACTCTGTCTGGTTCCCTGAAGAGGGACCCCCTGAGGAGAGCTGGAGATAGCCACCACCTGAGGGAGTGTCGTACTCTCAGAGGTATGCCTACCCTCTTCCGGGATGCACTGATTTGTTGTCTCTGAAACGGGAGCATGAACCATTGCAGTTCTCTTGAGTGCAGCCTTGCCCAAGGAACTATTGCTATGGTCGATATCATCTTCCCTAGCAGCTGGGAGAGGCAGACCAGCGTCACTGACTGACCGCGGCTTACCTGTTTTACGGCTTTCTTTATGCTGCTGAGGCGTTCCTGTGATAGGTACACCTTGCATTCCTTTGTGTCTATGACCGCTCCCAGGTGGAGTATTCTCGTAGTTGGGGTTAGATGGCTCTTTGGAAAGTTCACCGAGAAGCCGTGGTCCTGCAGCATTTTTATCACTAACTTTAGGTCCGCCCGAGACTGCTGGGCGGACGATGACTGGATTAGAATATCGTCCAGGTAGCACTGGACTCTGACTGGTACGTTTCTTAGTTGTGCTGCCAGAACCGCCAGAATCTTGGTGAACACCCTGGGCGCTGATGACAGGCCAAATGGAAGTGCCCTGTATTGAAAATGGTGTCCCCTGTAGGCAAACCGTAGAAAGCGGCGGTGAGCCAGAGAGATAGGGATGTGCAAGTATGCCTCCGTGAGGTCGATCGATGCCAGAAAATCCCCTTTCCTTACGCTTCCAAGGATGGAGCGTAGTGTCTGCATTTTGAATTTGCGGTATTTTATGTAGAAATTTAGCCTTTTCAAATCCAAAACGGCTCTCCAACCCCCCGAGGGTTTTGGGACCACGAAGAGGATAGAATAAAACCCCTGGTCTCTCTGGTTCATAGGCACCGGCTCTACGGCCCGTATGTTTAGAAGGTGCTGAACGGCCTCGTTCATGAGCCTTCTCTTTGTTGGGTTTGTGGGACAGGGGCACGGGCGGAAGCGGTTCGGGGGCTTTGAGAGAAATTCTAGAGATAGACCATGACGTATGGTGTTCCTGACCCATACGTCCGTGGTGGTCTCTTCCCACTGGGGAGCAAACCCTGCTAGTCTGCCCCCTATGGGAAGGTCTGGGCGGGAGTCATCTGGTACGGCGGAAGGGGCGGTTGTTCCCCCGAAAGGGCCGTCTTCCCTGTGTTTGCCTATGTCTTGTGTTCTGTCTGTCCCCCTGTCTTTCCCTATCCTGTCTAGCTTGGAAGGGTTGGGAATTTTGAAAGTAGTTGACCCTGGCTTCCGTACGAAAGGATTGTTTCCTTCCCCAGGAGCCGGGTCTCTTGTCCTGCCTTTTAAGCATGTGTTTAAGGACCTTGCGCTTGTCCTTGTTCTCTGTCAGGTATGGCGTTAGTGCCTCACCAAACAGCTTTGCCCCTTGGTACGGAGCCGAAGCCAATTTCCACTTGGATTTGGTATCCGCCTGCCAGTTCTTTAGCCAGAGGATGCGCCTGCTCGTGTTGTTTGCCGCCATTGCCTTGGCTGAAAACTTGGTCGCTAAAAGTGTTGCGTCCGACGCATATTCCGTGGCCGCTACCATTTTGCTGAGTTCCTGATGAGTGCGTATATCTTCCATGGGAACCCGGCCCTGTAGCTCACGGAGCCAACAAAGTGTGGCTCTGGTGAAAAAGGACGCGGAGGTAGACGCCCTGGTAGCCCAAGCTATTGCCTGGTGCGTTCTCCTGTAGTTGGACTCACTCTTTCGGTCCTCGGCTTTAAGAGCCTCAGCAAAATCTCCTGATATGGCCGTGTCCGATATCAGGGGACCTATGGGTTCGTCCACCACCGGCACCTCCAATGTTCCCTCTAGCTCCCTTGCTACGTTAAATAGCTTCCTCTCCGCATTGCTAGGAAGCGGTAGGGAGGTTGGCGCTGCCCACTGTTTCCTTATTGTGTTTAGGAACATGGTCGGGCATGGTATGCGGTGTTGAGTGGTTACCTTTTCGGCGAACGTCGGCTCAGCCTCCGTGTCAACTGTGACAGGCTC